GGGACGAAGGGAAAACGGAAGGTCGGGGAGAACGCGCAAGGTGCCGGGGCGGGAGGGGAACCAAATCATGCTGCTGCTGCTGCTGCTGATGATGATGATGATGGTGATGATAATGAAGATGAGGAGTAGGAGGAGTACCAAGGTGATGATGGGTGCGGGGAGGCGGGCGAGGGGCCGCCGAGGAGCGCCCGGGAGGTGGGGATGCCATTGAGTGGTGGATCCATGCACGAGTGGTGGATCCATGCACAAGTGGACACCAGGACAGGGAACTGTTGCAGACCCATCCCTTTCGCCCCAACTCCACCGCCCTCCATTTCCCGCCTTCCCATCACCTCCCCTCGCCCTCCTCCTCCTCCTCCTCACCCCTTCTCCCAGCCCCCTTCCCCCCAAACCCACCCACCGGTCCGTCTCAAACATGGTTCTGCCCACCAGGTACACGTAGCCGTGTTTTGTGGCCTCCGGGGGACACTGATCCGGAGCTTGCCAAACGGGCTCCGGAACCATCCAGTTGGTGGGCAAAGAGTGACATACCATGATCGCAGGGCGTGGGGACGGGGGATACAGCAGCAGTGGGTCGGGATGTGGCTGCAGCGGAGGCGGTTGTAGCGGCGCCGGCTTAGGGTCCCGGTCCTCCAATGTGCCTGCTATGCGTGGCGGCAGCTGCTGCTGCGGCGGCGGCGAGTGGAGCGGCGGCTGTAGCGACAGCGGTGGCTGTAGCGGCGGCGGTGGCTGTAGCGGCGGCGGTGACTGTATCGTGCCTACATTTGCCTCCAGGGTGCGGAGCTCCCTGGGGAGAGGGAGGGAGGGTGTTACGGCAAGAGCGGATGTCGCCAAGGAACGCGGCGGACGCGACGGGGAGTTCCACATGGAGATGAACGGGCGATGGAGATCAGAAAAAGCCGGTGGGGCAGAGGACGTTGCGTCGCTGTCCCTCTCTCGGTTGTTCCCAGTGCTCCCCCCGCATTATTCTCGTTCTTGGTTCCCCCCATGCAAAGAAGCGTACACGGCTCCCAGGCCTGGCGTGTATCGAGCGTTTTGATGCAGGAACTGCCCGTGTTCGCCCCCCTCCCCCACCCTCCCGGCGACCCATGGGGCTTCCTGAAAAAATAATATTTACGGCGTTAAGTTCCCGCCCACAGGAGCCTGGCTTGTGGTAAAGGTGTGCGGAAAACCGCAATAGGTGCACCGTTATTCCTGCATGTGCGCGTGTGCTCCTTTGCCCTTCTTGATGACCCACGGGTCGGCGGCTCAACGAAACTTACTCCCGGTCCTCGGGCGCCATGGACTCCACCACCTGCTCCCGGTACAGGTCACCGTGCTGGGATATCCACAAGTCCTCACGACGGATCTGTTTTTGAAGGGGGAGGGAGAGGAGGGAGCTGAGAAAAGAGGAGCGGTGCAAACAAGGGCGGAGTGGGGGAGGCACGAGAGAAGCTGATGCCAAGGATAGACTGATACGCCAGAAGTATGCAAGCAATAACTATCCAGTCGCGGCTTGTGAGTGAGGAGTTTTCGCGGTGATGGAGTCAATGGCGATAGCTGAAAACCACCTACCTGGTCCAGGGACCCAACAAGTGAGAGCACGTACCTGATTCGCCCGCGTTAGCGACAGTACGTAGTTGATGGCTTCGGAGCTGTAGCCGCTACCGCTCCAAAAAGGAGCCATCCACCAGACTGGATGACTGACGAGAAAGGAGGGAAGAGGAGGAAAGAGGCCCTCAGAGGCGACGTGTTGTGTGGGGCGTATGGAGGGACTGGCGTGATGACCCGCAGGGGAATGGAAAGGTAATGCCAGCTCAGCACTGTCCAAGCCGTCATGCACTCGCCAAACATGTACACAACCGACTAAGCAGCCAACAAGGCAGTATGAATGTCCCCCCAACAAATCCGCGATTTCGTAAAACTGCAAACTGTACACGGAGAAGAATGCCAAGAAAGACTAGAAAGTTCGGCAGGGAAGAAATCTTGAATCGCAACGTCCAAATTTCACTCGCTCACCGCAGGGGCTCCGGTTGGGGCTGCGGTCGTATTGGGGCTGGGATGGATGCATTGGCGGCTGGGGCAGAGGAAAGGGGAGGAGACGTAGCGGCGGCGGCGCCAGGAGCAGCATCGGCGGAAGCCCCTCCCACCGCGAGCATGTTCCCTGTTGCTCTCGCCGTGAAGGAGCCCCGGGACGAGGGCAGCTGTTGCTGGTTCTCATGCTGCTGTTGTTGTTGCCTCTGTTGCGGTTGCTGATGTTGGTCCCCTGGTTGTCGTTGCTGCTGTTCATGCTGCACTCGTTCCTGTTCCGAACCAGGAGCCCCGTGACGTCGCTCGTCATCATCATCCAGTTGCGGCTGCTGCTGCGGCAGCGGTGGTGGTGGTGGCGGTGGCGGTGGCGGGGGTGTCCGCTCCTGCGCATTGGCGTCGCTTGCTGTTGCTGCTCCTGCGCCAGCTGCGGCCGCCGTCTGCGGCGGTTCTAATGCGCCGTCTTCAGCATTGGCGTGGCCATCAGGCGCGTGTACCCCGGCGCCACTGCCGCCGCTGTCTGCCTTGGATTTACCTGCCGCAATTTGGGGCCCTTCACTGCCGTAGCGCATGGCCTCCTGCATTACGGCCAACAATGGTACGGTGAAAGAGGTGCAAGACCGATATGGAGAAGAGGTTTATGAAAGAGGAAAGGCGGAGAGTGACAAGCGGACGCGTCGGACCAAGAGAAAGGCAAAGACCCAGTCTTAGAAACTCCAGGGGCAGAGTGACAGCAACGCGGGAAGTGGCTGCAAAGCTGGGTCGTGAAGCGGACGTGCGATCAGGAAGCGGGGAGCTCCTCGCGGTCCTCCGACAGAGGGCTGCGGTAAGGAGGGTGGGAGGCCTGACGGGCGATATAATCGTGTTGGCGCTGCGAGGCGCTGCGGCAGCGCCGAGGCCTAGGGATCAAGCTGCAGCTGCGGCTGAGGTGATGGCGCTCAGGAACCAAAAAGCTACAGGAGCTGCCGGAGCATGAAGCGAAGGTCAAAAAAGCTGCGACGGAGCGCATCCTTTGCCCCGGATTCCTCCGCCCACCTACTTACATCCACGCCGTGCATGAACACAGGGTCCAGTCGTATCCTTACCTCAAGCCACCGCACGTCGTCATACTCGTCACCATCAGCGCCGTCACTACCGCCATTGCCGTCGCTGCCCATACCTTGCTCCTCTCCGCTGTTTCGATCCGCAGCGTCCCTACCCTCGCTGAGGCCCGCGTCCGGCAGGGTTACCTCCTCCACCTCCGGCGATGATGCCGACGCCGGCGCAACGCCGGGCCGTGTGGCGGCCGGTGTCATTGCCATCGTGCCCCCCGGCACATCATCAGCAGGCCTGTCGCCAGCTCTGTGTGCTAGGCCATCTTCAACCTGCTGCTGCCGTACGGGACTACCGCCCCCAGGGTCAACCAAGGGTGCTGTTGGCTCCTCCGCCGGCCCGCTGGGGGGCGGTTGTTCCGTGGGATCCGGTGGTTGAGACACGCTGACTTCTTCCGCTGGAGCAGGTGTGGCAACATCTGCTGAAGTCGTAGCTGATCGTGATGCTGATGCGGAGTGCTCCTCCCGCTGGGGGCCGTCGCCTTCGGGCGCCCGGAGGTGGAGAGTGCGCTGGTTAGCGCCGCTGCTGTCCCTGCGACTGGTGGTGGCTCTGCTGAGAGCTTGGGACTGCTGCAGCACCAGCGAAGGGAAGAGGATAGCAGACGCGATGAAGAGAGCTGCCCGTGCGCGCTGGCGAGGAGTAGCGCCGGCCGGGTGCATCCTTGGCAAGAAAGCTGCTGGATTGTGGATGTGCGCTTGTGTATGTCTTTATGGGACAACGGCCTACGATGGGTTAGGAAGTCCCAATGCTTGAAGGATGATTGGTAATAAACTGTAGAACGTCCCTGGAGATAGACCGCATTCCTCGGACGCCAGCTCGTCGCCGCCGTCGGCCGTTATGCAGCGACCCATGGGTCGTCACTGACTGCCGGCTTCCATGGCGCTGACTGCAGGTCCGCGAACCGCATATGCCATGGGTACAAAATATGTACCCACATTGCCCAGTAGATCCATTCATTAACTTTTACATTTCGTCCTTGTGGAGGAAGTTCCATCCAACTTTTCCATCTGCTTCCTGATATCGAACAAATATGAACGAAAACTGGCTACAATTCAATCCCAAGGTACCGAATGGCAATTATCACGTAATGGACACTGTTACAAGTGATTGAAAAGGATTGTTTGCTACCTGGCATGTGTGTGTAGTTGCTACAGTGGGCTCTAGATTCGTGAAGATGCTACCATCCTCTATGTGACATTGAAGTTGTTCATTTAAGCTCGGGGTATTATTACATAACCGATGTGAAGGGACAAGTCAGGGCGCAACGAGGGAAGAAGCCCTTACACCCGGGGAGGCGGAGGAACCTGAGCGGCAGAAGCAGTAGCAGTACGCCGGGCCCATGCTGCGCGTGCAATCAACCTCAACAACCTGCGAACTTGATAACAACTCTATCTACCCAACCAGCACACATCTACAGCCTTCCATACAGCTAACATCCAGAGCTTCTAGGTGCCAAAATGTTACGTTTTCCTGCTCCGCTGAACACCTCGTCAACATCTCTCAGTCTATCCGAAGGTTGCGTTCCTCCTCTTCATACGCAGGCAGGGACCCTCATGCAGCCGTTACGCCGCAGGCACTCGGAAGGCACCGACACCAACGACTTAGCCCCGGGAAACGCAGGCATAGCGACAATCTGAATCGCTGGAAGCAGCCCTGCATCGATAATTCATGATGTGAACGCAACGCAATGACCAGGGTGGGTGAGTCGTAAGGAGCTGAACGAAAGGACCATTCGGGAAACCTCCGCAGGTAAACCTCCGCCGACAGCGTCCTGACTCCGCCCAGCCGTCCGTCGCATGGGAAGCAGGTCGGCGGTACTGACGATATCCATGGCCAGTACCACTGTTGTTGCTAAAGCTGCTGTGGCAGCGGCAACAGGATACAGTGAATGTCGCTCCTTACTTGGTGCCATGCTTCGCCTTCAAGGCAGCCACGTACCTGCGACACGCGTTTGAAGGAGGTGGGGACAATGGGGACAAGCGGCGTGCGGCTGAAGTGACAGGGAGGCAAAATACCATAACCCCAAGTCACGGTCGCTGGGGCACGTGCATGAGTGTGTGCCGAGGCCCATTCGTTCAGTTCCTCTTTCTTTCCACCAGGGTATGTGGATGCAAGGTACACCATGCGAATCCCCCATGCCTTCCATTCCACCTACAGCTCCTGGGTTAATATTACGACTAACCACATTAGCCACGTTTGGCCTTTTCTCAATCCCCGTTCCTTCCTCAACTCCACTATCTCAGGCGCCTATAACTCCGTCCAAATCACCGCAAACAGATAGATGTGAGAGAGAGGCATGCTGAAAACCGTTTTTAAGAACCGCACGCCGCGGGGGTAGAGCAGCCACTCACTCGATGTACTGCTTCATGGCGTCTTCCTGGGACGTACCTGCGGTTCAGTAGGGGGCCCAGGCGCAAAGCAGGTAATCCCGACAAGAGGGCGAAAGATTGCCGCGGAGTGAACAGAGGAAAGTTTGCAAGGCTGCCAGTCGGCAGGTAGAAAGCAGGCAGATGGATGGCGGGCAGGGAAAAATAGGTAAAATACGCAAAACCTTGGCCGCGTTACAAAGCATGATCTAGGTCACTGCAGTGTGCTTCCTGGAGCAATAGATGACCAAATTATTGAAATCATCAAGAGCAGCAGCAACAATAACCATAGCTGTGTCGTGCATTGGTGTGTACGGTCGGCAGCTCAGCACCCACCCTTTTTCCCATTCCAAGCATTCCACTTAGCGCGGCCCTTGGGGTCGAAAATTCCTGGCTGAGAGGTGTTACAGTCACCCTGCACAGGTGGGGAGTTGGACGGCTCAAATGGGAAGCGGGAACAGCTCCGAGAAAGGATAAGGGACGTGTGCACTCAAAGTTTCTGTACTACGTTGGATACTTGCGCGAAGTAAAAGTGCAGGCGCCATGCTTGAATGGCTGCTGCGGTTGTCGCAGCTTCAGTTTGCGCCAATACAACGCATACATGTCGCCATAGGAAACCAACAGGAAGCGAGCACCGTTAAGTCGTACTAGAAGAAAAACACCAACAAGTAAGCGTGCTATCCACACTGGATCAAAAGCCCCTGACACATAGCTTTGTCAACCACAGCATGCGGAGGAAAACCCCATTCCAGTCTTGCGGTATCGTAGTGCAGATGGCACAGCACCTACCTCTTTTGCCTGCTTGAACAGCGCATACAACTCCAGCTTCTCGTCATTTGAGAGAGTGTCAGGAAGCGAGTTCGTCGCTTCCGCAGCCGCAGCCTCAAAGTCTTCCTGCAGCAGGCAGCAGAGAGGAGACAGGCCAGATATGCCCCGATACCGCACGATTTCGTTTGTTATTAAGATCCCAAATCCAATTGGCAAGGGCATCATCAAGGAAACGCTTCATCACAGAAAATTGCACGGATTGCATAACGCTTCCTGCAATCGAAGGGTTGAAAACTTGCCTTAAGGCCCATTGTTTCCTGTTTAACAGTGTCGGGACACGGATTCCTCCTACTGGTCCGTGGCAAAGCTGATAAGATCGCAACGTTTGAGCATGATATTTGTTTTGTACGGCAGTGTACGACCGCTCAAAATTGGCTGGTCGCCTCTTCAACCCGTTATAACACCCAATTTTGAATTTGGAGACCCGGATATTCAGAACATACAGCATTACCTCTTGCATTGGTCCAATCCGCCGCTGTCATTCGCATTTATCGTTGCTAAACTTTAGCAGGACACGATATCAGTACGCTGTGTTTCATAATCAGCAAGTGTTACCTGCAATTTGCAAAGTTAAAGGCAAATAAGGATAAAGCACTTGTGTAACGGGTTCCTGAAGAGGCGTATGGGTTTGGTCGTCGCCAGTATTCCCGGGGGACCTGCAGCACAGATTACAGGCAACAAGCGGCCCATGGTGAAAAAGATCGGCACCCACAGCGGCTCCTTCCACTGCGATGAAGCGCTGGGATGCTGGTTGCTGCGCCGGACTACCCTATTCCAGGAAGCCGAAATCGTGCGGACGCGCGATCCAGAGGTGCTCAAAGACCTGGATGTGGTAATTGATGTCGGTGGTGAGTAGCTGCGAGCTTTTACGTTGCTTTCTGTTGGGGGAGAGTCGGCAACTTATTACGCACAGCGACGTTCATGTGTTTTAGAGGGCCAGGCGCCGCAACTCTTCCACCACGTAGCATTAAACCGTCTGACCACGGAGGTGGTAACGAGGTTTCTGTGCTGCGTTGTTCCTCCTGTTGTACAACTTGTGGCAACTCCTTGAAACTAGCTATCAACAGCTGTCGCCAGCATACCTCTAGCCCGATATTTGTGAGCCTGCATCCAGGCAGTCCTGCGCAAGATCTACGCTTGCACGGATTTAACCTCACTGAAGTACAGGACACAGGCTGAGACGCAACTGCTGAAATGTACAGCCGTTATCGAGAACCGAAGCGGGGGTTGAAGTAGGCCCCTGTATGGCCCAAATCCTAAGCACGGCGCTGTTTTCCTCGTCCACCATGTTTGGCACATGATCTGCTTCTTAATGTTCTAGCAACGGACTGACAGACGGACAGAACCCAGTCCGTTCCAATGAAAAAAATTGATGGCACGTTCCCCGTGTATGGGCCTTAGAAGCCTGATTGGGGGATTTCTGCTCTTCAGGTGCCATCACGTGACAGCGCTCTTACGTTCCAGCGGGAATATGCCTTCCTGGTTTTCCTTGCGCTGTATGTGTCCTTACCCGCCTGCAGGCGTTTACGACCCAGATCGTATGCGCTTTGACCACCACCAGCGCGGCTTCGAAACCAAGTTCGGATTTGGATTCGAGGCCACCAAGCTGAGTTCCGCCGGCCTGGTGTACAAGCATTTCGGGCGGGAAATCATCGCGGTGAGCCTCTCGTGTTGGCTGCCGGTTATCGTCACCGTCCCCGGGGTTCCTTGTATCCCCTTTTTGGGAGCTCTGCGCTCATCCGTCCTTCTCTCCAAACCTATGCGGTTGGAAGAGCGCAGGGACAGCGTGCTTTGCAGCTTCCCCGGGGCCAGGTCTGCGGGTTACAGGTTTTGTGGCTATTTCGGTCGCATATTACTGAGCATGTACTGTGCGTACTATTTTATGTATGTAGACATTGCGCGCTGAGAGGTTGGTTGCCCAAATAAATATCATCTTGCATAGGCGGCTAGAGTCACTAGCACGTCGCCGTTAGTGGCGTGCCGGTGCTGAAGCTTCGCCAAGAGAGATGCTCAGCTCAGCCCGATGAGGGCTGCTGCCCGCTGAGACGTCCATGAAGCATCGTCGGCTACCGCCGCTGGCGCTGCTGGGCGCCCCTGCGCACACAACCGGGCATGCCACATGCGTGCATGTACCCGCACTGTCTGTTTTCTCACATCACACGCATACGGCCCATGATATGTGATATGCATGAAAAGCAAGTAATTGTGTTCGTTAAGCACATATCTAGATAACGGTCAACCGTTTCGAATGTCAGTTCCGCCGGCACCTTGCTGTTGCACGAGCCCATGTCGCATGTCTGTTTGATGCCAGGTTGTCGTGTGCGAGACAGCTAACTGAGGAGTTTGTGCCGGGGGTTGGCCCACCATGTCACCCTTGCAGGGGCTGCTCTCCTGGCCCATAGACCACCCGGACCTGGAGATGGTCTATCTGGAGGTGAGCTGCAGGGGGTGATGGGACGGAAGGGAGGGAGGAGGGGAGGGGGTGATGGGACGGAGGTGGTGATAGGAAGGGAGGGAGGGCTTTTGGGTGCGCATGTGCACATGTGAGGATGGACCACCATTCGCAAGTTTGCTTTTCTGGTGTGGCTGCATCAGAGAAGTGGGTTTGCCTGGCGCAAGGAAGCGTGGTGTTGTGTTGCTGTGTTATGGCTGGCTGAGAGGTGGTGGCCGGGGATGTCCTCCGCGCTCAACGCGCGCTTTACTCAGTGTTCTCCGTGCTACCGCTGACGCCGTGATCGCGACGTGCTGCCGCTTGTACCACAGGTCTACCGCAACTTCATCGAGTCGGTCGATGCGATTGATAACGGCGTCATGCAGTACAACTTACCACCCGGTAAGACGTAATGAAGGAAATAGTACGGCACGTGCAGAGCAGGAAAAACTCTCCTCATGTGATGCTATCCAAGAACTGCGTAGTACTGACGCCGGAAACGGAATTACCCACTTCGTTTTTTTGCCGCCACCTGAACGTCCTTTGGCCCGGGGCCTCTTGTGCGCGGCGCCGCAGGTACGGTGCCGCGGTACTTGAACAATACGACACTGAGTTGTCGAGTTGGCAAACTCAACCCACGCTGGAATGAACCCAGCGATGACGCCACGTTGTACGAACGGGTAAGTGGGTGAGTGGCAGGGAGGGGGCAAGTGATTCAGCTGCGACGAGACACAGAGACGGACTGCATACACGGCAAGACAAGTCGGGTCGACCTTGAGCGGGGCAGCACGTGGGTACCGGACACCGCGGGATTGCCAACGCACCACATCCGCTCGGCTGTCTCTGCCTCCGACCGCAAGTGCAATGACAGGCAATAAGTGATACACGCCAATGCCCGGTGGGTAACGGCACACGCGGGGGTTGACCTTAAGGCATCCAATGATATAGCAATTGAAGTTATATGGACGGTAATCCCTATAATAATATTAGTTATTATAGCTATTCCTTCGCTCCGTATTCTTAAAGCAGCTAAGCGCTCCCCTACCCCTGTTTTTATATGTTAATTGATTTTGCAGGCGTATTACTGCTAGCTGCTAAGAGGCATCAATTCCCCGCCTTGCCTTAGTTCATCGCCTCGTCAGGCGTTGTCTGTCCCTCGCTCAACTCACCTGCCCCCTTGCCCGGCTGCCGGGTTGTGTACCGCATGTTGTCCGCCGTGCTACAGTTTTTGAGGGCTGTGGAACTGACAGGTTCGGAGTTCAGCGAGGCGGTGGACTGGGTGGCCCGGGGCTGGCTGCCGGGCAGGAGGCCTGTGGAGGCGGCGCTGGCGGAGCGACACTCCGTGCACCCCAGCGGCAAGATCCTACTGCTCAAAGAGGTAACGGATTGGGCAAACCGCTTGCAAATAATTTAGGTAGGAAACGAGTGGATTATTGGTTGGTTGTACGAAATTATTATTATGATTATTATTTGCTGCAGAGGGATAAGTTTATGAACGAACTGCTGCATGGGCCTGTGCGTCGGGTGGAGTGTGTTGCGTTGGGTTGCGTTGGTGATGCAGTGACCTTGTGCGTGATTCTTGCTGATTCCTTTGCTTTTGTGATGTGACGTAGTAAGAAACTGTGTGCTCTGCGCATCCCATTTCCCTGTCTTCTCTCGTTCTACTCCATCCGCAGTTTTGCCCCTGGAAGGACCACCTGTACAACCTGGAGGAGGAGGGCGGCTTTGTTGGGGAACTGCTCTACGCCATATTCCAGGATGAGCGGGACAAGACGTACAGGGTGCAGGTACGGAATGTGTATTGCCAGGTGGGGATTACAGCAATGTGCAGGTGGGTGCTTGGATGGATGGATAAATGGGTGCACCAACAGGGAGGCACCGCGCGGGTATGGTAACTGTCTTAACCACGAGTGAAACAGTATACATAAACAGCCGTATTATCCAGTGTAATTTTAGTAAACTGCGATTACACTAGACACCTGTTCACGTTTATCGCACTATGCTCAATTTTTAAATGGCTGATGGCAACTAATCCCCGAACAGGCTGTAAGTGTGGGGCCGGGTAGCTTTGAGAACCGCCGGTCGCTGCCTTGCGCCTGGAGGGGGTTACGTGACGAGGCGCTCAGCGCCCTCTCGGGTATCCCGGACTGCGTGTTCGTGCACGCGGGTGGCTTCATCGGGGGGAACAAGACCCTGGAGGGCGCGTTGGAGATGGCCAAGCGCAGCCTGGAGCTGGAGTGATGCTGTCTGTAGTCGGGATGTGGCCACCCGGGGTGTGCCAAGAAGAAGGGGAATGCGGAGAAAGGCGCGGCATTGTGGTGCTTGACAGCTGCGGCATCTCGTGATTTTCAGAGGGCGGTCAGGATGTTTCATTCCGCTCACTGCCCCGGGTGGCGTTTGCCTCGGGAGCTTTTCCAGGGAGGGCTTGGCTTCAATGTCATTCGGTGCACATGTGCGGATATTCCGAAGACGGGTAACGCAGGACTACTTGGTGACGGTTTGTGTGAGCAGGCGGTATTTCGACGGTAGCGTGCAGCAGCTCGCTCGGCTGGCTTGATGCGTGATGGACGGGTGGATGCATGCATGTGCGTGCGACCCTTCGCTGGATATTGTCCAACCGGGCTCCTTTCACCTCGAAAGGGCAGGAGGTTGTGGCCGGTTAGGTTATAAAACTGGTGAGTACGGCCTCACATGGCATAAGCTCACTTCGGCCATTTCCATACATCCTCTGAAGGGCCCATACTTCGGCCACTTGTCAAACCGCAAGGCTCCCCAAACAACAAAAAACTCTGATTGAGTTCGCTTATGTGACAATCATAGGAGCAACTCTAGGTGATGCTGGTGCGTGGCCTGGGAACCGCCATGGTGCCAAATTTCGGGCAGTTCAAAATCCTCGGCAACACAACGGCCGTGGCACATTCTCGGGCACGTAGAGCAACAATATGAAGCAACGTCTCTCCGCTTACACCTACCTCGCACGGCCACTGCTCACGCGAGTAAGGGAGTCACCACTAAAAAGCTATTCAGGCGGCCATAAAAATGGAATGGCGAAGCAGCACCGCCGGCTCAAGAATGATGAAGGGTTCAACCGTGACGCCAGGTGGCCAAGTTATACCTTATGATCACGAGCCAAACGAAATGCAAATGCAACGGAGGCCACTGATGGGAGTTGCGCCCACCGATAGCGTTTATCTGCACCTTACAGTGCAGGACCTGCAACCAGCTAATCACAGCGTGCTATTACTAACACATTATTACTAACACATTAAGCACCCCCGATGAAGCCCCCCGAGAACCTAACGCCAAGAGGGCATGTAACCCTGACGGAACAAGCCACCACACGGCTAAAGCAATGTGCAGATATGAAGTATTTTGCACTCCCGCCGGATCCTCTTCCTGGCATTCAGCACCTTTCCCTTTAACTTTCTTCCTGTACGCCGCCACGTATCCCTCTCACGCTTCCACCTGCACTCGCACCCCCCGAGTCGCCATGAGGCCCAGCTCGCTATACAAACCACAACCGGGGCCTCTCTCGCTACAGCTGCTGCTACTGCCAGCTCCTGCGCCGTGCCAGCAGTCCGCCAGAGCCTTGCCCACCACTATATGAATCAAGCAAGGCAGATCTGCCGTACCGTGTGGTAACTCCTTGAGACCGTAGTTGCGAGACACGTCAAGCTTGCGCAGCCGTACAAGGCTGGTGAGGCTGGACGGCACGGAGCAAAGCTGCGGCGGAGAACAGGGGTTTCGGAAAGAGGGTCGGGGGCAGCGGATGGGTGGGTTGCCCTGGATATGGTGCGTAATGCAGTGGCGTAGCAAGGAAAGCACCACCACGCAACATCCAATGCGGGACTAACTCACGAGGAGGACGCAAACCAGATGACGGCAGAAATGCCACGCATGACCGGGGGGCCGTAAGCGAAGTGAAGAGCGCTTGCGCGGACAGACGGATCCGGGTTCAACCCAAGACATCAGCAACCGATCTGTGCCTGACGTTAAAGCAAGTGACGAAACATTAAACAGTCAAGAGCGGCAACAGAGCTGCTCAGGGGAACCTGACCCTCATGGCGTACTACACCTACCGGTGCAGCCCAACGCCCTTCAGAGCACATCCAGGTAGTAGTACCATGACTGGGTTTGCGAGTCCAGACACCAGTTCGCGCGCACGCACACGCACACGCACACGCGTACGCGCACGCGCACACACACACGCACACACACACACACACACACACACACACACACACACACACACACACACACACACACACACATAACCAGCATGCAGCAGCATATTGCATGCGGGCCACCTACACGCGGTTCAGTTTATTGAAACACACCCAGCACGCAGCAGTGGACCTCTCCCTTATCCCCCAAATACACACAGCGATCTCAAGCATACTTCAAGATCCCTGACCCCAACCCTAAGACCCCAGCACCCAGGCAAGGACGCCCAACTCCACACGCCTATCCAACACCATCCCTGGAGTCCCACAACTCCATGACCCCACCGCATTGAAGTGCAGGTCCAGCAGCCGCAGCTGCCTCATCCCCTGACCGAGCTCCTCGGGCAGGCTGGTCAGCAGGTTCAAAGATAGATTCAGATGGGTCATGGCGCCGAGGGCTGCGGCAGCAGCCGCCGGGAAGCCCGTCAGGCGGTTGGAGTGCGCGGCCAGGTGGCGCAGTCGCTGTAGTGCCGACAGCCCCGGGGGCAGGTGGGTGAGGGCGTTGAGGGAGAGGTCGAGGCGCTCCAGGGTGGTGAGTTGGGTCCAGGAAGGGGGCAGCGTGTCGAGGGCGTTGGACTGGGCCTGCAGGGATTGAAGCGGGTTTTCGAGGGGAAGGCCAAGGGTGTGTGTTAGGGTGAGGGGAGATGTTAGTGGGTATTTATGAAGGTTGGGACGCGGCAGGAGTAAGTGATTGGAGGGGGCGAGTGAGGGGATGAAAGTTGAGGAAGCTGCACTAAAGGTACAGAAAGCACCAGGACTCACGGCCGGTCCGCAACACCGGCATTCGACCCGGCGGCAGATGGAGAAGCAGCAACAGCGGCATCGATGACGACCACTACCAGCAGCAGCCCCAGCAAACAAACAAGAACTCAAAGAGCCACCACCTTCTGCAACCGCACCACTAAACTGCTGTACACCCACATTCAGGCTGGTGAGGGCCGCCAGCTGCCCCACCGCTTCCAGAAACACCGCTGATCCCGCCATGCAGCCAGCAGCCATACGAATATCCAGATCTACCAGCCGAGTCCGAAGGTCACCCACGACGGCGAGAGAGAAGGGGATGGGGAAAGAGGGAGACGTTGACGCTGATGCAGGAGGCGGCGCCGTCGACGTCAATGAGGGGGAGGCCGGGGCCAGTAGGGTTGCAGTCTGTGTCAGAGGGGTAGGGTCGACTTCTGGCAGTGCCGACGAGGGGGGTGATGATTGCGATGATGACGATGGTGGCGACTGGGCTGTGGAGGAGGCCCGGGCTTGGGTTTGCTGTAAGCAGACTGCTGAGCCGGAGCAGGTCTTGAAGTAATTTTGGCCGCAAGCCAGGGTCTGGTCCAATTACGGGGCCGGGTCGGGAGGGTGGGGGAGTGAGGGCGCGAGGGAAGGGGGCACGAAGAAAGAGAGGTTAAAACTAAAAACGCATCACGCTTTAACTTCAGGGTTTAAAGGCACGTAGCGAAAGATGGCCCTAGCAGATCACCCCAAGCGTGGGGAGTAACCCCGGAAGTCAGGGAACGGCAGAACGTGGAAAGAAGTTGGCGACCCGGCCACCGCATGCTGATCATGCCAGTACAAGCGGGACGCAAGGCACGTACGGCAAGGCGGGCGGGTAGCGAAAAGGTGCACGGCAAAGTGAGGCGTGCGTGCGTCAGAAACGGATCACACCACACCACATCACACCGCCCCGCACCACATCCGGGATCATCCTTGGTGGCGCACCCCAGTCACCAGCGGCACCCCAGGCACCTGGAGGCGAGCGAGGCGGGCCAGGGTCCCCAGCGGCAGCACCTCCATTCGGTTGGAGCTGAGGTCCAGGTGGGTCAGGGAGGGGAAGGGCGGAGGGGCGGAGGGGCCGGCGGGGGCAGGGACGGAGGAGGGGCCGCTGATGCCGCCGGTCGTGTGGGGGCCGGACGGGGCGCTCGAGACCGAACCGCTGCATGCGGCCCACTTCGTGTCCTCAGCTCCTTCCCCAAAACCATCCACCTCAGATTCGGTAGCTGTCTGGCTTCCGGATGGCAGCAGGTGGTCGTGGTGGTGGTGACCTCGGGACGGGTGGGAGGCGGTGGTGGCGGTGGCGGTGGTGGTGGTGGTGGCAGGACCCGTTGTGTCGGTGGTGTCAGTGGGGGTGGGGATGGGGGTGGCGAGATGCGTGATCATTGTAGCAGGTGTGGAGGTTGAGGTGGAGGTGGTGGGAGTACTGGGGCCGGCGGCAGCAGCAGCAGCAGCGGCGGCGGCGGCGGCGGCGGCGGGTTCACCAGCTCCACCTGGGATCAATCCGGGCAGCGAGGTCAGCCTGCGTGCATGGGTACATGGGTACATACATACATACTTACATTCATATGTATGAATGGTTAATGATATAACATACATCGAGAAACGCAGGCAGACGAGCGGTTCAATCTCCAACGGCTCTCACGGCTCTGGTTCGATACAGGCTGGCCCCCGTCATCGTCACGTCGCTCACTCCACATAGTCGCACATCCACTCCTCGAAAGTGTTTCTTCTGTATTCCAAGCGCACATGTGCATGTGGTGGTACTCATAGCCCATATGGAGCACATGCACACTATCATCATACCCTCACTCGCTGCAAGAGACCCCGCTGCGGCACCTCGTGGGAACGCCTGCCCAATCATCACTACAGACATTCATACATGCGTACATGAAGACATGCATACATTCATACATGGAGACATACTCGCCGTTCGAGGTCTGCAATGCCCTTTTTCCAGAGCGGGCGAAACCACCACCACCACCACCGCTAAGGGGCCCAGCCCTCACCCGCCCCCGCCCCCGCACCCACATGTTGCAGCTCACTCGCAGCAGCTCCAGCTGACTCAGTCGCGATAAACCCTCGGGGAGCTGCTCCAACCTGCCAGTACGACAGATAGTTGGAAGTAGTTACCCGGCAGTTGCAGGCCGTTGCTCCGCATGCAGTTGCGGGCAGTGGGCTAATATCAACGTGCGCGAGTACGAAAGAACCATCTTCCATACGAACTTAAAGTGGACTTGTCGTACACGGGAGGCGTTGGGGGAAAACACAGAGGTCAAGGAGCTGTGTGATACGCAACCACACGTAAACATAAAATGCAATCCAAGCAAGCGCCCACTTAAACATCAACAACATCTAAAAGTACATAATCCTTGACATGCGCATAAGGCGCCATCATTATTAGTCCGAACGATACGGAAAAAATAAACCGATAATGCCGATTATTAAAAGCGTAACACGAATTCGGCATGCACACGGCAAATGCAAGGTGCATTTCATACAGAAGCTTCTCAAAAATTCCAGTACGTTTACATACCTATTCGCGCTGACGTCCAGATGCCTCAGCTGGGACAGCGCAATGAGCTCCAGGGGCAGTGCCGCCAGCCAGTTGCCCGCCGCCACCAACTTCGTAAGCCGGGTCAGCAGCGACAGCGCCGACGGCAGCTCTCCAAGAGGATTGCGGGACACGTCAAGGCACCTGCGCCGTACAATTGCCGTACACAACAACCGTAATGTCCTTGCCTGTATATACCGTACACCGTACACCACGCACACTTGCTAATATTTCAGTGACAGATTTAGGGAGGTAGGACCGAGTTAGGAAGAGATCTGCTGAAACTAGTGCGCTGGGCGGCAGGACTAGTCTACAGCGGTAACTGCGCCCAACACCTGGCACCTCAGCTCAGCTCGGTTCGGCTCAGCTGCCGACCGCTCCACGGAGCAGCTGAGGCAGCTGGCTCGACGCGCTGTTTACCCATGTACTAAATTTTTGAGTGGGATGCAGGAGCGTGTAACATACACGCACGCACGCACGCACGCACATGGACGCGCGTCCACAACCCTCTCCCAAAAATCGTGGCCCTAATTCTGGGTTTCAGTCGTACGTTCAACTCCCCCGTCTCATCCAACCCGCCTTCTATTCTACCCCTTCCTCCCCCTCCTCCCCCTCCCCCCTCCTCCCTCGCCCCACCTGAGCTGTGAGAGGGCACTACACAGACGAGGGGGAATTTGCTCCAACCGATTGTACGACAGATCCAGGCGGGTCAGCCGGGTCAGGCAGGCGACCTGCGTTTCCAGCGTTCCCTGGAGGGCGGGGGAGAGAGAAGGGGGGGGGAGGGTGGGGGGATATCTTCCCGGGCAGGAGCGGCGGGTTAAGGAAGGGGAAAAAAGGGAGGTATAGGGGAGAAGGTGGTTGGGTGACAAAGATGTGGGTAGGGCGGTACAGGCGGTACAGGCGGCGGGGGAGAGAGCGAGGATAGCACGTCAAACATCCACAGTAAAAGCATTAACGGTCTGGCGCGCGGATCTCTCAGTCTTGCACGCATGGGCGGCCGGTGAGTCAAGGCGAGTCCGGGCACGTGAGGATAAAGAGGGCCCCGGGATGAGGTGGGGTTCTGGAGTACGGAAAACTCCAAACCCATTTCTACACCCCGCATTCAAACACTACCAGGTACCACCGAGCGGCAGGAACGTGGGAGGCGAACTTCCTTGCTCTCATCCAAGCAAGCGGTACGGCAGGTAGTACGGCATGCAGTGCGGCAGGCAGCTCCCATTAGCCCACTCTTGCCACTCACCTCATCCAACATGAGCGTGTTGTACGACAGATCTAGAGATTCCAGGGAAGTCCAGAACCGCAAGTACGGCGGCGGCAGAGTCAAAAAGGTGCCTTGGTACGACAGCTCCGTCAGGCCCCCCCCTGGGGTTTGCGATTGCGATCATGCGGAAGGCCGTCCGGGGACGCCGGGAAACGAGATTGAGTGCCGGTGTTTACGGTGGCGCTCGGAGGTTCCACAACAGAAATTGATGCCCTTCCGCCCTCCCCCACTCCTCCTCTGCTTACCTCTCTTCCGGTGGAGGGGCACATCCGCCCGCTACCCCCTTTCCCCGCACCCACCCACCCACCCACCCACCCACCCACCCCGTCAACCCAGTTGACATGTTTCCCTTCTCCCTTCTTGCACGACAGGAGGATTCCCACCCGCCCTCTTACCTCCCTAACCCCTCCCTAACCCCTCCAACCCAATCCCCCTCCAACCCACCCATCTCCACCAAACGCTGCAGGCCGTTGAACAGAAGGCAGTTGGTGGACAGCATGGACACGATACTGCGACCCAGAGCGGAGGCGGGCCGGCCCCCCTGGAGGACAGGGGCAGGCGGCAGCGGCGCCGGCGCAGCCAGCCCTACGTCCTCCGCATTCGCCTCCGCCTCCGCCAGGGCAGCGGCGCCGGCCTCGGCGGCGGCTACGGCCGCGATCGCAGCAGCCTCCGCTGCCACTTCCGCCGCCTCCGCCTCCGGCCCCGGCGGCGGCACCTCCTCCCCGCCCGCATGTCCTTGTGCAGGCGGTGGTGGTCCATGTGCTACCGGAGCGGTGCAGTGGAGGACCAGTCGGCGGAGGGCGGTGAGGCGCGTCAGGTGGGCGACGGAGCGAACCAGGGAGGGGGAGCTGCCGGCCAGGTGCAGGCTGTGGCGCGTGGTGGGGGCAACCGTAGGGTTTAGGGTGGGGGGAAGGTGGGTTGGGAGATTAATGAATGCGAAGTCTAAGGGACAATGTCCGGGGGTAGGGTAAGGTAGGGTAAGGTAGGGTAAGGTAGGAGGGAAATGTAGGCGGAGGAAAGGCGGCAACCTAGTGGAGCTTGGCGAGCGGCGACTCCGGAGGGCAGTTCGGAGTGGCACGCAGCAGGGTACGAGCCGTAGGGCCCATAGGGCTATGTCGGAGACACTCAGGCTCAGCGCGGGCAGCGACCAAAAGACGGTGGTGGTGGCGATCGTGGGGTCACTGCGATGCGGACATCTGACGGAGGCACCGCCACCGCCACCACCTCCACCTAGGGGTAGCATGGCGCAAGAAAGCACGGGCCCAGCCCAGTTCTCCCCTGCCAATAGGATAGTCCAACAAACCCTAAGCCTAAGGCCCCACATCCTCAGACAGATCGCAACACGGGCCCCCACATCGGGCCCCCAAGCGCACTACACAGACAGACAGACAGACAGACAGACATATACACACAGACGTGCACCTGGTGAGCAGTGATAGGCGGCTAAGATGGCCCACAAAGGCACGTGGGGGCGAAAGGGGTATGCCGTACAGCTCCAAATGCTCCAAGGAGGTCAGCTGCAGCAGCTCCTGGGGCAGCACCTGGGGCAGGATGCCGTATATGTACGGCGACTCTACCGGCGGGTCGCAGTGCCGTGAAGGGGCTGTAGGGTAGAGGAGAGGGGCAGGGGTTGGGGAGGGTGGGGTTGGGTTCGGGCGGCAGAGAGAGCTGGCTTTGCGTGGCATTGCGGGAGCGGACGGAGCGTGCGTGCGTGAGGGCACTTGTATGATGATGCCAAGTCAAGTGAGGGGAAATCAGCTGCCAACTGATGCCCAAAGTTGAAAACTGCTGAAGGAGTCCAAAGCATATGTCTGTATGTGTGTGTGTCTGTATGTCTGTGTGTTTCTGTGTGTGTTTGTGGGGGTTTACACAGCAGCACCTCGTCGGAGCGGCCATGCAGAGATGAACGCTCAGACACCGAGATGTGGGTTGTCTTGTTGTTGGAGGGGCCAGTGGTGACACATAGGACAAAGAAAGCGCGGCCAGAGCCCCCTCTCTCCCCGCCCCCTCCCGGTAGTTGGCCGTACTGTGATGGTGAGATCACGTCATCAATGTTGCCATCGTCAAGCCACCCATTTAACCACCTAACCAACCGACCACGCACCTGCCTACCTACATATCCACCTACCTAGCAATCCCCTAACCCGACCTTCCCAGCTAGGTACTTCCCACCCCCCACAGACAAAACCCCCACTCCAGGGCGACATCCACCAGGAGCTGCAGCTAAGCCGAGCCCCCTCCCCACCACCACTACTCGCCATACGGCTCACCCCAGCCAACCCCAGCCACCAAGTACACCCGCCCACCAGGCCGCCCTGTACTCACCGTTTCCAATGGACAGGCGCCGCAGCCCCGTCAGCGTCCCCACCGCCTCCGCCGGCAGGTAGGGGGAGCGGCTGCAGGGCGCCGTCACAACCGCCGTACTGACATCGAGCCCGCTGGGTAAGGCAAAGGCGGCGGCGGCCGGCGCCAGTGCTGGCAGCCGTTGGCGGAACTGAGCAGCTGCGGCGGCTGCGGCGGCTACAGCTGCATACGGCGGAGCCCGCAGCATGACGTGTGTTCCCAGGACGAGGCTCTGAAGCCTGGGGAGCCTGCTGTCAGAAGGGAGGTGGGAGGTGGGAGTGTCATGTGCAATCGCTTAGGCCGGGGGTGGGTGGGTCAGATAGGAAAGCGAGATGGGGCCCTGGGGTGTTTCAGATGGGGTGCGAGCCAGGGGGAATCGGTTGGAGAAGTGGGTCGTGGCTCGCTCGCGGTGGGGTGCAGTAATTATAGGGTTTGTAATAAAGTGCGATGGCAGTGACAGGCGGCCTGTGACCCAGGTCGTGTGGTGGCTATGTGACCCAGATTGTGACTGCGCGCAATCGTGTAGCGGTCCATATTGGGGAGATGGCTATGCGAGCCTGATCGCGTAGAGAGATGCGTGGCGTCCGAACGAACGGGAGCTGGTCAGCTGGCGGCTCGGCTGCGCGCGTAACGCTCGGTAGCAACGCCACCGCCTGGCTATATGACTGAATTGCAAGGCGTCACTAATTTGATGTTAAGCTAACAATATAGCGTATCCATGCGTTTGGGAGCTTCACGGATCGGTAAACCGCAGCTCACGGGAAGGAGGTAGACCTAAGTCCAGATCGTCGGTTTGTAACTACACTCTTACCTCGACGCGGCCGACAGAAGTGTTTCCAAGCTACCATCGTCATCATGACCAGGTGCAAGAGTGGTCGACAGGTCCAACTCCGTAAGGTTAGGGAATCGCGCTAGGAGGATGGCGCTGTCGGGGCTTGCACGGTCAACACGCAAGCTTTCAAAGCTGTTATCGAAGACTCGATGCCACTCCTTGCTAACAAGCCTGAGCTTGTGCGAACAAAAATCCGTCCTGGCCAGAGTGAACAAGTAAGCCAGCAGGTCTTCGGGCCATAAAGCTCCACTCAGACTTTCTACATCTTGCTCTGTAGCAATGTTTAATTGCATCGTGTCTAGATACTATATCCTAGCGCTGCTACAGTTTTGGTGCTGCAATTGAAAGAGTAAAACCCTTACAGCAAAGAATTTGCGTTACTCATCAACCTGCCAAGTCAAACGTGAAAATCATATTATCGCAAATCTGAAAAGCTGTTGTGTAAAAGCGCAGACATCTAAGTGGTAAGAAGCGTTTCATGGCATAGTGTGATTGGAAAAGCGCACGCGGATACCAACCGCTGCGATTCGGGATTTGCAGGTGGTCCAACGGCCGCCCCTTTCCTCACCTTTTTCCGTAGGCATACGCACAATGATAGCGTGGTCTAAAGTAAACTCACATTCTGCACTTCTTTTTCTTTGTACGCCAACGCCAACTCCCTGGTGATGATATGGTGCTTGTAAAAGCCGAAAGAAGTGAGAGGTTGGGGAGGGTCTAGGCACGTCCACCCTTGCCGCATCCCGAGCGTTTAAGCGCTCCACTGACGACAGTGGGACTACAAGTTTTCCATTCGCCTTCCCGGGGCGATAATGTCTGTTTTCCGTAGGCCTTTCACCTCTTGACTGCTATCTGTGGTTGATTGTGTGTTACATGGTTGGGGGGTGCGTGACCCCATACCTGTAAAACTACCCATACGAGCCGAACGCCCAAGGGCTGACTGCTATCGAAACAGCAGTATGCCACAACCCCGGGAAACGTGAAGCTAACAGCCATGCATGGTAACGCCTACAGCACTGAAATCCAAAACAAGTGTGGATGTCTCTTGGAAAGTGTCGATGACCAGAGACCCGTTCTGCGCCATCACGTGGGCCACAAGGTTGGCATACATGCGCACGGTGGCGGTTTGCAGCTTCCGGACATACGCACCACGACCATGTAACACGCAGGGGAGGTGGATGTGGTAAGGGGCGGCCTGGGGTTTGAGGACGAGGAGGGGGTGAGGGTGCGGTTGAATGGGTTGTAATGAAAGGACCTGCGTGTGAGGCGATTCGGCTTATACCGGTTATTTCCCCTGTACGGCAGCTTTCCAAACAGTGATGACATGTTGGGTTATGAGCGGAGAGGGCGGGAGAGGGGGAGGCGGGAGAGGAGGGAGTGTGGGAAGGGGAAGCTGCCGACTCAGGATGACAGGAAGGGGAGGAGAAGAGACATAGGGGAAAGAGGGGGAGAAATATTCTCAGGAGGTTCCCCGCATTGCCAGGGGTCTTTCGTGACAACCCATTCTCATCTGCGATCTCTCTCCCAAGGAGATGCTTCCCCTAGGCAGTCCCTCCGTCACGAAGTAGTATAGTATAGTGGTATTGCGGCCCCTGCGTGGTACTACGCTGCGACAAATCGGGCTGGTGTAGCCAGGCCCTTGGGGCTGGCCACAGCACGACATCGCGGCTGCAGCTCCTTCGCCGGGTACCTGCCAGATAACTTTGCAGACTTCAACCATTAGTTTTGTGGGCCTTAGCTGTCCTTGTTAAGTCGTTTAGTAATTCCTATTAAGTTTTTCCTGCATCGCTGTCTTCCTGTATTGGTGAGGTTGTGGAAGAGTTTGCTGCAATGCCTCGTCCCGTTGTACGGGCGTCCTTTGCCGTTCCGAACAACGTCCAATGACCGTTGGGGCTAGACTATTGCGATTAGCACGCATCTCAGTTATTGTTTATAATAAACATTTACGCATCGTAAATGAATTTTGAAACGTGAAAGGTTGCTGATCTGCTTCAAATATCGTGGATTTGCAGCGATAGGACCATAAACCATGCTGCAGCGCTCTGGGCTAGGTCTTATTGAGCGGGCCGCCGGAGTATCTACATCGCAATGCCCTCCGGCGGGACTCTGGCCATGCGGTCAGCGGCAGCGGCGACACGTGCACAGGCGCGCATTACCGGAGATGCTGGACGCGCTCGCTCAGGTCGCGCCACATCTTCCGTTGGAGCAGATAGCGCCACCATGCCAGGTCATGAAGTGCGGCGATATAGTTTACCGCAGGTATTTGCGGGCGGCGTTTCTCGGCAGGTTGTTGAGAGCAAGTCACTGTCGCTAACACATATCTGCTGATCCTGCTTGCAGCACTTTGGACCCTTCGCTATACAAAAACGGTGGTTTTGACTGGAGGACGGCTACGCTGCTGGCCACGGTGTTGGGGTACTTGGTCTTGCCTCCAGGTCAGCATGGCGCAGTCCGTGCGGAAAGTGTTGAGTGATGACACAATCCACGTAGTCTAGGGTATGGAGAATTTTGTACCTAATTCTTACTGTGGCAACTGACGTAGGTGTGTTGCCGGGTGCGATAGACTACTACATCAAAGCTCCGCTGAAGCGTAAGGAGTCCAGGGCTATCGACAAGGTACGGTTAAGAACATCGTGGATATAATGCGACTTGTGCGCAACCGGGCGCTTCCCTGGTATTGGTCGCGACCTGCCTTTCGCGACTTTCCGGTGTTCTGAAGCTCCGGGGCTTTTATTTTGGCGGCTTTCTGCGCGCACATTGGTTCACGTGCTTTATTGTTCTCAGTTCGTTTGTTACGTTTATCAAGTTTGGAGCGCGTGGAATCGATTCCACCGAGGTCGCGCAAAGAATCCCGAATAGGCACGATCACAGCATTCAAGGACTGTTCATCGATTACCTGTAACAGCATGGTGGTGGCTTAAAGTGGCTGCAACTCCAGCCTTTTCTTAAGTCCCGGTGTTTGGCCCCCTTTTCGTGACCATGTACCTTGTAGCCCTTCGGCATACCATTTCCCGCATTCCGCTTCTCCTCTCCCTCAACCTGGGCCCCAACGGAACCCTCTCCCGCCCCACCTGCCACGCCGTCCCCGACCCTTCCTAGCCACCGTGCTACTCCCACCAACACCAACGTGCAGCCGTGCACCCCACTTCCCTGCCCATGCCCGGCTCCTCTTGTCTTTCCTCAACCCACGTACGGACCATGGGGTATTGCACTGTACGGATCCTCAGAATGACATCATCCTGGGTAAGCGCCTGGGTACGGGCGGCTTCGGCACCGTGTTCAAGGGCGAGCTCAAGGAGGAGGGGGGCGGCCGCACCCCCATCATTATCAAAAAGGCAAGCTCTTATTCCCTTCGAATAACATTCTCTTGAACTCTGGAAAAACGTGGTATTAGTGAAGTTTTAATAAGAATTTTACACCTTTACTCACGCACATGTTGTCACGCCTCCAAGGTTGGTGAGTGAGGCAATCAGCCGTGCGGACGGGTGGGCAGGCGCGTGGTGGTGGTGGTGAGGGGGGGGTCGGTGAGGCCAGACAGACGTCACACCCTCCTACCCCGCGCCCATGCGCGACAAGGACCCCCTCTTCTTTCCAAGGCACCCCCCTCGAACATGGAAGCGCCCATGTGCCAGGGGAGCCGGGCCGCAACCACCACCGCAAAGCCGTGCTATGCAATATGTCCTCCCTATCTCGCTCAACTCGTCCGTCCCACACGCATCGTGTTGCGGCACACGTCAACACCATGTCCCGTACGCGTACGTCGCCGCCGTCGCACCTACCTGCCCCAAACTCCCTTCACACTGCACTCACAGGCCCCCGCCCCCTCTCCTGTACTAAACTATCAACCCATGTTCACATTCCTAACCGACACGATGGTACCCTATCGTACATTGCCGTACCACGTCAGGCCAAGGAGTTTGGCGAGGCGGAGGTCTGGATGAACGAGCGCATGAGCCGCGTGCCTGGCTCCCACTGCGCGGAATTCGTCACCGCCTTTGACGAGTCCCTGAATGTGCCGCTGCCCGAGGGCGCGGGTGGTCGGTCTGCGGGGTCTCCAGCCCCGCCCACCTGGAGCGGTGGCGCTCTGGACAGCGGAGCCATCTGGCTGGTGTGGTACTACGAGGGGGATAACACGCTCGTGACGCTGATGGAGGTACGAACGCGGGTGTGTAGGAACGCGGGTGAACGCAGGTGTGTATGTATGTGTGTCGGTGGCGCCCAGGTAGAGGGGGGAAGGGGGTTTTACGGGGGTGCTTACGAATGCGGGGTTTGCGGATGGTGGGGAGAAGTGTGCGGGTTGGGTGGGTGTGGATGAGTGCGTTGGAAAGGAAAACACGTTCGTGCGCCCTGAGACGAGGGCAGGGCCGGTTAGGGGGCTAAGACCTCACTCCGTTCTGCGAGTTACGCAACAATTCCAACAACCCAACCCTGGTATTAATCTGAAGCGTTTTGTATTTGCTGTCGCCATTGTTGTTCTGCCGTACGACAGAAGCGCGAGTTTCCGTACAACCTGGAGCCGCTGCTATTCGGTCGAGAGCTCCGGGCTCCGCGCGGTCCGGTTCGTGAGCTTGTGACCATCAAGGAAACCATGAGGCAGCTGCTCACGGCGGTGGGGGCGTGCCATGCCAATGGTGGGTACAATCATATGGCTCGGTTAGTGGATGCGTGCGCGCTTGTGTGTGTGTGTGTGTGTGCGTGTGTTGAAATGGACTGAGATGGCAGTGCTGGGGATGGTGTTTCATGAGCGTGTGAGTGGTTGGATGTTTGTTCCGCCGTACTACTGGGAGGACGGTAAGATGCCCCGGATGTTGGGTCCCCCTTCCGTCCACATACATACATACATACATACATGCATACATACATACATACATACATACGTCCTGCATCCTGTTCATGCCCTGTCCCCCTACTTCACCACGCAGCTGGTGACTGCTCTGTCGTTATCTCCCTCCCCCTCCTCCCCCTCCTCCTCCCCCTCCTCCTCCCCCTCGTCCTCAGGTATCGTACACCGGGACATCAAGCCCGCCAACTGCATCGTGTCGACCCGGGACAAGAAACTCAAGCTCATAGATTTGGGCGCCGCTGCGGACCTGAGGATCGGGATCAACTACGTACCCAACGAGTACCTGCTGGATCCGCGATATGCACCGCCGCAGCAGTACATCATGAGCACGCAGGTGCGCCGTACAGTTTGTCATACAGACTGTCGTACATAGAATTCCTCACTCCTCACCTGCCTACCATAATTACCATGAGTATCGCCGTCAGCCGGGGCCAATGAACAAAGTGGCGGCGGCTGACCACTGACCACCCTGACTCCCTTATCTATCCATGGAAAGACCAAATACACTCACTCATCAACTCCGTTATCAAGGTAAGGTGCGGTGCTCTCCACTTCAAACACACACACACATGTTCATCCATCCTTCCCCTAACTCCGGATCTCACCTCCCGTTCACACACCCACCCACACAGCCCACCCACAAACCCAAACCTCCTCCTCCCGCTTTCCCACGTCCCGCCCCCTTCCTCCCCAGACTCCCCGCCCGCCCCCCAAGCCCGTGGCTGCCTTCCTGTCCCCCGTGCTGTGGGGCATGGAGCGCCCCGACCGGTTCGACATGTACAGCTGCGGGGTGTGCATGTTGCAAATGATATTCGCACATCTGAGGAACGACAACAACCTGATTGCCTTCAACAAGAGGTTGCAGGTGGGTGTGTACGGGTGCCCCGGGTGGTGGGAGAGCTGGTCGGGGAGCTGCAGGCCGGCGCCGCTGCGTACAGGAACAGGGTCAGGGCAGGGTCAGGAGCGCGGCGCCCTCGCTAGGCAGTACATCAGATGGTGCGCAGGACATCAGATCTACGCTGCCTGCCGGCCGCGAATAACCTCAAATGATAAAAGCGAATGAATCTGTGTGGGTGGGGGAAGGGGACCCCGCAATTGTGGTGTGCTTTTCGCCTTTTTGGGGTATCAGGGTCATGGCTGATTGTCCCCTCGTCATCCTTGTGTTCATCTCCCCTTTAGGGTTTTAGGGTTTTACCCCCTTTGGTTCAGGCCGTGTGTGTGTGTATTGTCGGGGCTGAATTGGGGGGTGGAGGTGGCGCAGGAGGAAGTATTCCCTTTCCGGGCCCCCTTTCCCCTCCACCTGGTCTTAAAAACTAGTTCATTCTGTAATTTCATACTTTCATATCCGCACTTCATTACCTCGTTTCTCAGGAGCTCAAGTGGGACTTGGCGGCCTGGCGGAAGGAGGAGGAGGCGAAACTGGCGGCTGGCGGCCTGAAGGCGGCCCTGGCGGATAGCCTGTCAGCGGGGTTTGAGGCGCTGGACGCTGACGGCGGCGCCGGCTGGGATCTGCTGACGCGGCTGATGTCGTACAGGCCGACGGACAGGTAGGTGGTGAGGGGGGTGAAGGGGGACAGTGCCATGGCAGTCTGCCCGGTGTGGGGGAGGGGGAGGGGGAGGGGAGGCCGCGGGAACGAAACCAGAGCCGGAGTCGCTCCGCGCGTTCCGACCTTCGTTGCGAGGGCTGTGGTTGGCCCTATCCGACCCTATCCGGCATCGGAATCCGCACCCGCATGGTCGTCAGCTGCAGGCAGGTCATGTCGCTCCTGGCTAGTTGACGTCATTACTCATTACCTTCCTTCCACCCCACCCAACCTCTTCCGTGGTTTGGTTGCTGGCAATTGGCCGTTTGCTCTTATACGTGGTTTACCTTTCGTGTAACATTTCCTCCCTAGCAATTCCCCCCCGCTCCCATCTCCCGACCCTCCCCGGCCCCCGCACTAGGCCCTCTGCCTCAGAGGCCCTGGCCCACCCCTGGCTCACCTCGGCCCCGGGTCGCGCCGCCAGCATGCAGCGGTCCCTCACCTCCTCGGTGGAGGCGACTGTGTCCACGGCGGCTGCGGCCACCTCGGCGGCGCTCACCAGCGCGGGCAAGACGTTGGGACGGGCAGCGGCGCTGGCGGAGATGGTGAGAGAGGCGTGCGGGGAAGTGAGGGTGTGTGTGAGAGAGAGAGTGTGCGAGTGTGTGTGTTTGGCGGGGATGGACAGGTCACAGACATGTACACGCCGTATCCTGCCACCGCGCCACCACCACTCCATCACAACAGCACCCGGCAATGTCCGCATGTCCGTATGTGGCGGTCTCCTTGCGCCAGCACCGCCCAGCACCAGCCAGTACTTGTGCTTTCTTCTGGTCGCTGCCATCGGCCATGGGTCCCAGTTCCCTGTTCGAGTCCATCTCCCCTTGACCCGGGGAGACACCACATTGACGTTTTTCCCTTTCTACCCTCCACCCCCTCCCCCCACCCCCCTTCAGGAGGAGGCCATTCTCAAGACCCAGCAGGGAGCTCTGACTGAGGCGCAACTCATGGAGGTGAAGGAGGTGTATGGCTGAGGGCGGTGCGGTGCGGTAGGGGAGACATCTAACCGCCATTAACTGTGGTCTTACTCCCTGGCGATGTTGTACACCTAAACCGGAACTCCCTTTCCCTCCCCCCCCTCCCGCAAACCCCCTTTCATCCCCATCCCACCCCAGGAGCTGGGCCTCCAGGAGCCCGCCCCGGTGGCTCCCCGCGAGGGCAGTCAGACCATCGCCTGGTGGCAGGAGCGACAGAGCGACCTGAGGTCCCGACTCGTGGAGAGGAGGGAGAAGCTCAGACAGCAGGTGAGGAGGAGGGAGAGGGTTTGGTTTATGGTGGCGGGTGGGGGGACGGAGGAGGGGGAAAAAGGGGACGGGTAGTCGTGGTCCTGTAGGCGTGGAAGGGGCGGAAGGTGTCGAGAAGCACGACATATTCACGGGAGAACGGTTGGAACCGCACGGGTATCCCACACGCATACACAGCACAGATATGCGAATCGTGTGGGTCACCTCTTCAGATCACGCACAGGGGTTTCCATCCGGCCAACAACAACGCCGAATGGGATTGCCCGCACTACCAAAAACTCAAATGTCGCCGCGTACAAGACTTCGCGCGGCAGATCTTATTCATGTCCTTACCCCCAGCCCAACCCCAACCCACCCCCATACCCCTTGATGGGTTGTCCTCCCTGCAGGTCAGCAGCGCCATCACCAGCGTCCGAGGAGGGGCAGGGGCACGGGGCGGCAACGGCAGCGGCAGCGGCGGACGCCCCGCCGGCAAGGCGGCGCCGGACGCAGCGGCGGGAGCTGCAGCGGCAGCAGCTGCCGGCAAGGCGGCCGACGGCAGTGGCAAGATCAAGGTGCGGCAAGATTATCTGTCTCGCATAGGCCCTAGCAGGCAGGGCGCCTGTATGAACTCTGTAGATTAACACAGTTGGGCCAGAAACGGCCGATGGCCACCAGGCAGTGGACCAAAATACAACGCAAGAAAGGGCCGGATGCGCACACAGCCGGATCAGTTAGCCTTCTGTGCTGTCCGTCCGACCGTCTGTATATCCGTCTGTCTGTCGGTTGCTGCCGGTTCGCAGATCCCGATGATCTTGGGCGGCGGCGCGGCAGTCAAGAAGTCTACGCCGGCAGCTGGCAATGGCAAGCCCGGGCCGGCAGTGGCGGCAGCAGCCAACGGTAACGGTAACGGTAAACGTGCGTCGTCGCCAGTGGCCAGCAAGCCATCCAACGGCAATCTTAACGGTAACGGAAATAACGGCAATGGCAAGCTATTTGCTGCGAATGGCTTGAGCCTTGGCCGTTTCGCACCTGGTAACGGCAATGGCAACGGTAATGGCAACGGCAAGGGAAAACGGTCGCCCGTTAGCAGCCGGGACGTGGAGGAGGAATTGGAGGACGAGGAGGAGGAGGAGGTGGTTGCGCCGACTTCCACCAAGGAGAAGGTCTTTGACCTGTTGGGCGTTTTCCGCAAGTAATTGCGCGTTTATTAACTGGCCGTTACGACGGTTCCTTGCATCCTGTGACAGCGGCTTCTAAGAATCTCAAGATTCATGGCCGTGTCCGATCTGGGGGAGTTCCCGCCGAAATGCAGCTGCATATTGTACGGACGTTTGATGTGACGACGTCTCCTCTTGCCGGTACGGCACGGAAGGGAAGCTGCTACCTTGCCTACTTGGGGTTGCTGCTGCTGCTGCTGTTTTTGTTGTTGTTGTTGCCGCTACGTTTGTTGTCTATGTGTACCCGAGTTTTTTTGCAAGTGAGTGTTGGCTTTTGAACTTTGTTGAATGGCTTTGTCTTTGTGATGCGGTGTGTCGGTTCCATGTGCATCTCCCTTCCGCATGTTGTATTATGCCGTACACGGCGAATCCAGAGAGGCAGTAGGGATTGCGCAGGGTATGGCGTGTGCGAGAGGTTGTGGGAGTATGGAAGAAATACACATTGGGGCAAGAGAGCGGCGCGCAGGAAAGCGAAGGTAGAGGGGACCGGCGGAGGGTTGTAGGAGGAGCGCGAGCGGCCCCTGGGGCCCCGTTTCCGGGACAGCGTTATGTCGTTGTGAGTCAGTCTGGAGAGGTAAGCATATATTAAGAAACGGTCAAGGCAGCGATGGCCATTGCGCACCTGAAAGTGCCGTACCGTGTCGTTCGCACCTTATCGTGAAAAGCTGTGCAATTGAGCGACGCAATGTTTTATAATATGCGCTGAGAGCGCCCCTCACCCGGTTTCGGACTGCAGGCCGTCTTTATTTTGTTGATAGGTGCCGCATCCAACAGTGAAAGGTTTTATTTCCCCAGCCTCCGCAACTGCCGTTTGCGGCATCTCTGTCCTGTTGTCTCGCTTTTGCCCTTTGGTTGGGTAGGTTGGAGCGACAGGTTGGGCCTCTGGTTTGCTGATGGCAGTGCACGTGCGTGTGCCTTACTGTGAGCTTTCCATCCGTACCATTCGTACAACTTTGAGAAGAAACAGCGATGCGGCTTATGGGTCTTAAAAGCACAACATCGTTTTTAAGCCGATGGCCGAGAGGTTGGTGGAAATTTAGGATCGTGGGGACAGGGGCATCTCGTGCCGTCGGAGGGTTCCGCCAGAGGCCACGTCAGCGGTAATGCCGGCAAGCCGGAAGGCCTTGTGCTTGGGCATGCCGTCAATTTGTGCACAACTAGTATGCCTATATGTCTCGTGTATCTGATATCCGTGTACGAAGCACATTGAACTTGGGAGCAGAGGGCTATGGAGTAACGGTGTTGTGGCCATTTGGAGCCGAGAGTGTTGTGCGGCTTTTGTGCTATGTGGATCAAGCCATGCTTGAATTGGTTCGTGCCAGAACAGATAATTTTGGAGCTGGATTTACATGGTTCAAGCTTTATAGACTTGGCCCTATCCAGATCTGATGTGGGGTCGAGGCTTTCGCCGGCATAAGAGTTTGGCAAGTATCACTTTCAAGTCCGGGAATGCGGGAAGTTCATGCGTTTTGTTGTTCTACAGAACGCAGTCGTAGTAGATGGTTTCGCACACAGAAAGTGTTGATGTTTGAAAGTTTTCGTGGTTTCGGTTTCGCATGTTCCCCCCTCTTTTTTTATGGGATTGGTGGGCTTTCATGGAAAGTATATGAACGAATTTTGAATATACTGCTAGCCATGATTGCAGCTTCTGGACAAATAAGTTGGTTCTTTGCACGCGGTAGCAGGCTGATTATAAGTTCTCGGTGGGGTTGGAGAGAGGGATTGTAAGGATTATTGCCGTGCAACTAAATTTGCGTACGAATTTTCTGACATATTTACATAAAACTTGGTTAGAACTCACCTTGTCCTCTACCATTTTGTAGCAGTTGCAGTGTCCGCAAAGCGCGGATGGTTTCGTCAAAAACCGGGGACCCATTAAGACCTTGCTGAATTACAATCTCACTTTCCAGGATACAATATCACTCTTCAGTGCAAAACCATCTCCCTGACCGCAGTTAATAACAGCGTTAGGTACGAAAATAAATATTTCACACGAGAATCACCCCTCTTGGGTCTCTTCCATCTTGGACAAATGGATGACACCGGAATCGCGCACCGACCGGGATTTCTCGGACGGCCTTTCATCGTTGGGAACGCTGCACGGGCCCTCAGCCCCCAACGACAACCGCCCGAAGTGGTGTTGGTATCCACCTCGACCTCCCTTAATTCAAGTTCAGCAGGCCTGGCCCCGGCGTCACCGGCTTCACCAGAGCTCGCGTCATGTGGGTGTGCGCCTACCTGGCCATTACAGGCTCGGGTGCCATCCAACGTTTCAAAATGAACCAAACCAGGAAGGGGAGAATACTTTGCAGGGCGTTGCAAGGTCAACACGTGGTCAAGTCTCCGACTGCCTCTGCCCCTCTGGCGCAGCCGCCGCTGCCACTGACATGCATACTTCGTAATACTGTCACTGTCCGCTACAACGCTCTCCCCGCCTGGCCCCGCTAGGTGAACCTAGCCCAGCCCAGCCTACTCCTTTTTGAGGCTGTCCGACACTTCCTTGGCGAGCGCTTCGACATCCAGAGCTTTGAGCTTTGTGAAGGGACGGGGCATGTCCTGAAGTGAAAGAAGGGAGGGGTAACAACGGGGGTGGGGCCACGTAATCAGCAAGAGTGGGAGGGCGGAGAAGCGGAACGAGTCGAAGCGGAGGATTCTGGAAGACACGTACGTACGTACGTTTCTCCTCACGTATGTATGTCCTACACGATTTTCTGATCCCTTACATGGTGTGACGAAATAATCCATGGCTCATACGCAGTGAATGCCATAGTGACGCAAACTGAATTGGCTGGGTCTACTACGGAACCCAAAAACGCACTTCTCTTTCCTCCTCCCCCTTTCCCCCAGTCCCCGCCGTGTTCACTTTAGGCAAATGGGGCCCTGCACCCGGACTCTCGTCCCCAATGCCCCAAGGTGGGGGGTAGCTGCCGGTGTTGCGGGTGTATCGAGGCGCCCCCGGGACACGCACACGCACACGCACCAGCAACGACAAGAAGACTTTGCCGTCAGGACCCCGCACTTCAAAACAGCCCTTGCGTGGCTTGTCTGGATTGATGCTGACTTGGGCGTCCGGAATCGCCTCCTTAATTAGCTTCTCTAACTTAGTGGCCCTTTAGTGACGGGGAGTAGCCAGGGGAAAGGCTTGCGATCAGTTTGGCCGGTAAAGAAAGGTTAGTAAGTTGCAAATAAAAGCAGGATAGGAAAGAACACCAATACAAATGGACAACAGAAAGCGTGAGAGCAAGCGAGAGCTGGTGACACTGCAACCTGGCAAGCAAGGAGAGAAGAAGCCAGCTTACAAGCAAAGCCGGGGAGGAATGAAAGATTACGGTTTATGGACCGCATGTTGGGTGGTTGTGGGAATTGTGGTGTCGCGTCACGTTGAGGGGGCGACACAAAGGAGGGAGAAGTGTACGCTTCCACGCCCTCGGATCCCAAAACCTCTAATGGCGGAGATGTGGGGGCTTCCCGTCTGCCGGAGAGAGGCTGTCGAAGTTTACTGTAGGACTAGCTGCTTGTCATGTCAGCCCGCTTGGTCGGTTAGTGTGGTTACGAGACCGTTTGCGGCCGTCAGCCACAGACCGCAGTCGTGTGGCCAACCAAATAATAGCACAGGTCCCAGGCTTATGCTGTATTGGCTGGCGCGGCACACAGGCTGCTCACGAGGCAGATGCCTTGGGGTTGGTTAACAAGGGTGCGCGGTTAGCGCCCCTGGGCAAGTTCTCGGTGCGAGACTTCGATACAGGACGTCCCCAAACGGCGGAAGCGCCAAAAAACAATGTGATTTTCCATGCCTCCTGAGAAACGACGTATGCTGTCTGCGCTCCTCAGACCCACCGTGTTTTGAATGCGCCTCAGCTCTTGCTGCGCAGGGGTGGGATGAACAAGGGTCACACGCTAACTTGATTGCATGAGCACGATGCAAACCCCGCTCTCGTACCATGCCTCGATGACAATGCCTCTGCCAGGCGCAGCATCCGATGCAGGGCCGTCATCCTTCTTTGCCTGTTTTTTAGCAGCAGGCGCTTTTGCACCAGAAGCCTCTCCGGCAGCCTTTCGCTTAGGCGCCATTTTTTAACAATAAAGCGTAATGCCGCGTAGCAACTCTAAATGTGCAAAGCCAGAACTGACGGGTGTACGGATAAACCCTTTTCAAATCTTCGTACTGACCGAGGAAACAAAGTTGCTTGTCGCCCACATGTTACTGTTTCATCATAACACTAGTATGCAATATTCTTATGAATTTGTTCTCTGCTGATGGATAGGGCACAGTGCGGTGTCGATATGAATGTTAAAGAGAAGGGCTTTAGTATATCATACTAGATAATAAACGCTAATATACTGTTCCATTTTTCGATATGTTTGGGCACGAGGCAGCGGGAGGACCGGGTAGGCCAAGGGCCGCACCCAAGTCCTTGGCTGCGTTGCCTGGCCTTGCCCAGCAGCGAATCCTTATCCACTGCTCTTCTGCAGATTTAGCTGCGTTACGATGCTGCTCTTCCGATAACCTTCAGATGGTAGACCGGACGGTAACGCGTCTCTATCCTTGGATCGTCGCGACAGGCTTGGGCCTAGGCTCGGCAACAACGGAACATATGGGCAGCAGCAACAACTGTGGCAACCTTGCCACCCGAAAACTTTCAGCAGACCCCGCAGTTGAACCGGGAAGTCTCGGCAACCTGCCAACAACTTCCTCTACCATGCGCCGCACGGTCTGCCCTGTGGAATCAGCTCTCATAAGGATAGCGCCAACAGCAGCCGCCGCACTGTCCGCCATCACATCAACTGATACTGATTATTATGCATCGACAAGCCAGTCTGCGCCAAATGTTTGCGCCGCTGCTCCGGACCCCGGCCCCTACGGCTCTCTGTCGGAGCTCGTCCTCCGCCTCCATCCCCATCTCGATCGCTGTCTAGATCCTTCCACAGCCTCCTATGGCGGCAACAGTGGCCCACAGGCCCATCACCCGGGCGCATCCTTCCCCACTCAGCTGCAAACCATCCACCTACCGTGCCGCCTGCGCTTTGGCGCTGCCGCCGGCTATGGCTCCACCGTTGGCCAAACCAGCGAAGATGCAAGGTTTTCAGGGGCAGAAGCCGGGACGGTGGCGGGTTTCGGCTGTCTGTCTGCCATGCCCGCCCTCACGTCCCTCAGTGCGTCCATGATGTCTGTGCTGGATCTCGCGGCAGCTCGTTCTGCTGCACGTGCTGAAATGCGTGCACGGCTAAATCCGCCTCTGGAAGCGGTGGCAGAGGCGGCTGCTCCTCCTGGCGGAGGCGCGCAAGAGCGGTCGCGAGCGGACGACGCCGCCAGCGTCGAAGCCCGGTCGGCGGCGGCAGCGGCGGCGGCGCGTATGTCCCGTCGGGCCGCGTGGCTGGCGGCACAGCACGACATTCGCTTGCAGCAAGTTCGTCAGGCGCAGCTGGCGTGGCTGACGGAGGCGCGTCTGGACGAGCAACTCGTCGCTGCTGTTCGGCAGCTGCCTTCCCTGGCGCCGCGCCTGACACAGCTGACGCTGACCGATTTACAATTTGTCGCGGCGACCTTCAATGCTGTGGCGGCCTGTACGGCACTCACTCGCCTGGTGCTGTCGGCGCGGTCCAGCGGTGCAAGTGGCGGCGGTGGTGGCCCTGCTGCCACTACCGCAATGCTGACACGAGCCGCCGGTGGCGGTCCCACGGCTGCGGGCACTACCCCCAGGCCAGGCGAATTACTCCCACAGCACTTGGCCGCACTTGTGCGTGGCCTGCCTCGCCTGCAGCATTTGGATATCCACGCAACCGCCTTCTCCTCTGCCGTCGAGTTTGGGATCCTATCGGCGTTGACGGGCCTGACGAACCTGCGACTCAACCAGGCGGCGTTGTACGACATCACGTACGGCAATCGCTTTGAGCGGCTTCCGTCGGACTACCTGCCAGTGGCGCTCCTGGGGCCTCTACAGGGCATTGAGCGCCTGTCGGAATTGCCACAGCTGCACTCCTTGGCGCTAACAGGTGTGGTGGGTGCTGGCAGGGCGGGAGCCGCGGTACACTGCCGGAAGCATCGTCCTCTTTCTTGTTCGTGGTTGAAAACTTTTCGTTAAAGAGGCTTCAATGTGGACATCGTTGAGCAGGCCTTGCATCTGCAGCTATGTATGTATGTACGTATGTGTGTATGTACGTATGTATGCATGTATGTACGTCACGATGACACTTCGGATGACTGCCCGCACACGTGTCCATGGGCCTTGCTCTAGTCTCGTCGCTCCCCGGCTCTGCCACGGTTCTTTCTCCACGCCGCTCAGCGGTATCCCAAATGCACGGACACGTCCCCATTGGTACCCAAGAACACACGCATGCTTTGGGACATTCCCTGCCATCCGGGTTCTTGATGATGTGCTTACCTGATCCCACATGCGCGTGTGCGTCCCTTACCCCGCCCCGTGCCACCCCCTCCCCCACACCCCCACACCTCACGGTCTTTGCCCTCTTCCGTTGCATGCCCCAACGCCCGCACGGGACACCTCTCTCTCCCCGGGATAAACCAACCCCTCGTAGGTTTGGACTGTCCACCCCGTGCGCTGCTGGAGGCGCTACCTCCCGGCGGGGGCCCCCTGCGGCGGCTGGCGCTACGCAAGCTGTACCGGCTGACCTCCGAGCACCTGACGGCACTGGGAGCCCTGACGAGGCTCACGGAGCTGCAACTCTCAGCGGATTGGTGCGTGTACGGGTATACATGTGTATGTCTGTATGTGCATCTGTGCAGGCCGATCAGTGTCACTGTATTTGACGGGGCGGTGGCTGGGGGCAAGCACAGGGAATGTGCGAGTGTGTCTGAATGTACGTATATGCCTGTGCATGTGCGACTACATGTGTTTAGCTTGGGGGCCTTTGGGATGAGTGGCAGGAAGCTCTCCGTCGCCTTGAGGGTGACGTGGCTCTCAGGTGCACTGTTCAAACACCTTTCTCCCCTGCTCCTTCACACGCGCGCTGTTGCCATGTGCGGTTTCCTTCCGTAATAAATTCCCCCACTTCCCGTTCCCTCCGCTGCTCTCCCGGCCCCAGGTGCTTGCATCCCGGCAGCGACACCCCACCACCCCTGGAGTTGTTCGATTTGGCTGATGACCTCCTGGACGGACCCATGCTGATGGAGATTGGGGAGGAGCTACTGGTGGAACATCCCCCCGGCCCCGGGCAAGGGGGTCCGGGCGGGGTATTGGGGGTTGGGGCTGGGGCCCAGCCGCCGGGTGGGGCGGCGGGCGGTGCCGCAGCTGGTGGTGGCGGTGGAGGCGGAGAAGGAGATGGGGGCGCGGATGGGGACCCGGCGCTTGCTGGCGCCGCTGCTGGCGATGCTGCAGGTCAGCAGCAGCATCACCAGCTCCAGCCCGGCGTGTTGCAGATTATTGAGCAGGCCCTTCAGGTCATGGAACAGGCGCTGCATGTACACCATCAACAGCAACAACAGCAACAACAACAGCAACAGCAGCAACAACAGCAACAGCAGCAACAACAGCAGCAACAACAGGACCAACAAGGACAGCAGCAGGAGCCCCAGCAGCCGCAGCAGCAAGGCGAGTTACCTGTGCAGCCGCAGCAGTCAGATCAAGCAGCTGCACCATTTGGCGATGAGCCTGCTGCTGCTGCGGCGGCGGCGGCGGCGGCGAACGCAGCAGCGGTTGCTGTGGCAGGAGCCTCCTGCAGTAGGGCTGACGGGGGGGCTCCCAGCTGCTCCAGTAGCAGAGGCGGTGCAGAGGCAGTGCTGGTCGCTGAGGGAGCCCGGCTGAAGCGGAAGCAGCGATCCATGTTTGAACACGAAGTTGGGACTGAAGTAGGCGGGGAACCTAGACAGGAAGCAGCAGGGGGGCCGCAGCCCATGGAGGTTGATGGTGAGCCGCAAGTGGTGCAGTCAGTGCTGCCAATGCAGCAGCAGCAGGGTGAGGAGCAGCAGGGCAGGGGGCAGCAGGGTGAGGAGCAGCAGGGTGGGGGGCCTGCAGGGGCTGCTGGACTGGCCGCACCTCCGGGTGGCCCTCCTGTGGCAATGGCGGTACAAGACCAGGACCAAGAAGGACAGCAACAACAGCAGGGGCAGCAGGCACTGGGGCAGGAGCAAGAGCAGCAACAGCAGGGGCAGCAGGCACTGGGGCAGGAGCAAGAGCAGCAACAGCAGGGGCAGCAGGCACAGCAGCAGCAGCAGGCACTTGCCAACGCCGGGATAGCTGCCGATGCGGGTCAGGGATGGGTGCTGATACCTGGTGGCGGCATCATCGCTCAGCTGCCCTTTGTCTTTGGCGGCATGGGAGGCGGCGGCGGCGGGGGGGTTGCTGTTGTTGGGGGTGGAGGAGGCGGCGCTGGTGTGGCGGAGCGGGGTCGAGGTCCTCGAGTGGATGAGCGTCTGGCTCCGTTGAGGCGGTTGCAGAACCTGCAGGTGGGCTGGGGCCGAGATGGGACTGGGGTGACGCAACGGAGTAGGCTGCGTTGTTCCGGGGTATGTTGCTGGGTTGGCTGGCCTGTGCTAGGCTCTGTCGGGCAGGGGCAACGCGGGGGGGTTCCATCGGTTTTGCTTCGCGGTAAGAAAGGACACGCCTCTCCTCTGGGGCTGTCCACCCGCTCAGGTCTTACCACAGGGCTTCGGGTTTCATTGGAGGATTCCAAGTATTATTATATTATGGTTGCCCGCCTCTGAACCCCTCATTCTTTCCATCCTTCCCTGCAGCTATGGACGTCACTGGATTGTTTTTCTGGTGGGATGTAGCCTGTTGGATAGTGGGAGGGCATCTCTCTCCCCTGAGCTTGTGGTGGAGCTTTTCTCTGTCTGCTCCCTTGCCCCCCCTTTCCCAACTTGGGCTCCTTCGCGTCATTCCCCAAGTCTTGCGTTCAATTCCCGCATCTGTTGATAACCCCTCACACACAGTCGCGTGTCGCATTTTTATAATAATGCGCATTATTATAAAAAAATCATTTAAAATCTTTCCCTTTTCGCCTGGCTTTGGCACATGCGGGGCCCGCCCCCCAGGTCCTGCACCTGGGTATTGGTCGCATATTCGGAGTCGTTAACCTGGGCCCTCGCTTCCTGGAGCACCTGTCCGCTCTCACCTCCCTCACCACCATCAGTCTCCGGTGCACCACCGTGGATTGGGGCTTGCTGGGGGCGCTGGCACCCCTGCCCCGCCTATCACACCTCTCCATGCACTACTACGACGGAAGAGGAAACAACGGGAAAAAGGTGTGTGCTTGTGTGTATAGGCCTGATTTGGTCAGTGAGGGATGGAACGGAATGGAAGTTGGGTGGTAGAGAGGGCTCCCCTTCCCTTTTCTTCATCGTCGCCACATATCTGAGCGCGCCCCCTCCCGTTTGGCCCCCTCCACACACCCAACCACCACTACCACCACCACCACCACCGCCACCACCACCACCACCATTACCGCCAGATTGCCGCGGACTTGATGTCGTGGCGCAACTTGTCCGCAGTGACCACCCTCAACCTGGGAGCCTTTGAGGTGGGGCTGCTTACATAGCTAGCCAGTGACTTACCGACCTGTCAACCTATGCCCTACCTACCTGCTTACCGGCCCACTGCGTATCTTAGCACCTACTCGCTTACCCGCCTCTCTTACTTTCTACCCCACGAACCAGCACCTTGCTGCCTTCTCCGGTCTGCTTGTGCTTACCTGTCCATCCCTACATCTGCTTGTCTATCGTTGAAAACCCCGAGCTTCCCACGCCTCGCATTTTCTCCTCCCACGCCTCCTCTCCCTTCCCCCCGTAGTCTCTTCCCGCTCTTTTCTCCCCTGGGCGCCGTAAGCTCTTCCTACAATTTTGCATGCAATGCCTCCAACCCTCCCCCCTGGGTTCTAACTACACACATACATACGCACATACATGCGCAAACAGGCCCGACAGGACGCGGATATCATCACCCAGGCGCTGCCTCGCAGCCGTCTGGCCGCTGCCAGTGTGTTTGGGGTGCGGGGATGTCGACCCGGGTACGACGTGTTTGCGGCGCTGGCGGAGACCACCAGCCTCACCAGCCTGTCTGTGCAGGTGAGAGCCGGAGAGCGCGGGAAGCAGCACATGCAGGTGCAGATGCGGCAATGACCGTCAGGCGGAAAGTGTAACAATACTGGCCACCAGCGGGACCGCGGCAGAAAGCACGGGGACAAAAAGAAGCAGTAGCAGCAAGAGGCGCAGCAGCGGGCCAGGTGCTGAAGTCTGAATGGTGGTTCAGAAGCCATCAGCATGCTGAACCACCATCATCACCATCATCATCATCATTATCATCATCATTATCATCATCACAATCATCACAATCACTGCGAATTGCATCTGACTGTATTAACACTCCCCACCCAGGCACACACCGTTAGCTGTTGGCGCGGGTGTTGGAGGGCAGCAGTTGGCCCGTCGCTTCTTGCACTATCCTCAAATGATTTCCGCCTTGATCAGCGCTTCAACCCTTGCCGTGGACACACACACACACACATTCAGACACACAAACGCAAACACACGCCAAATACACACATTCCCGTGTCTGCGAACTGCATGTGGGTTTGCAGGGGGATTGGATGGTGCCGCGTCCTGCGCGAGGCGCGACGGCAACAGCAGCATCGGCAGCGGGTGCGGGCGCGGGTGCGCCTCCACCACAGACCCTTTCCGAGCTCCGTCGGCTGCCCCTGCTCCGCAGCCTGACACTGGACCCCGCCGGTAGTGACAACTTCTTCACTGAGACGGGTGTGCCCGTACCTGGCCTCCACGATGTGCTGTGGATTATGGCAGGAATTGGTCAGCAGGGCCCTGGGGCCGCTGGCGGAGGTGACGCAGCGGCGGCGCCGCCGCCCCCGCTGTTGCCGGCGTTGCCAGTACCGCCGGTGCTCCCGCAGCTGGGGATGCCATTGCAGCTGGAGGAGATACCGTCACAGGAATTACCGGCGCTGGATCAGGCGCAGCCCGGACCACCGCCGCCGCCACCACCGCCGCCGCCGCGTGATGACAATGAAGCCACGGCGTCTTTCAGTGTAGCGCCTGAAGCTGATCAACCCCTGCAGGGAGGTCAGCCTCCGAATCTACGTGAGCAGCACCCGCAACAGCCGTCGGGCGCTGAAGGGGGCCCGTCGTCGGGCCATGCTACAGGGGTAGCAGTGGCGCCAGCAGATGCAGCAGCAGCACCATCACATCCGGCAGCGGCTGCCGTGGTGGTGGATGATCAGGCTGCAGCCAAACCTGCGCCCCTTCCCGGTGCGCCCCTGTTCCGGGAGGTACGTGTTCGCTTTGAGGCAACTGATAGCGACGACGAGGTCGAGGAGGATGTAAAGGGCAGAACCCCTGCAGCGGTGGCGGCGGCGCCGCCCCCTGCCGCCGATGAAGGGGAGGCGGCGCCGGGCCCCTCCCGCCCATCCGGCAGGAAAGCACAGAGGGCGGCAAACGCGACGGCTGCGGCAGCGCGTAGGAGGAAAGACGGATCTGCGGCTGCGGCTGCTGCGGTGGGCGTGGCGGCGGCTTGCGGTTCAGCTGCTATGGCTGGTGCTGCCGGCACGAGCAGGGTATCCGCCGCAGCCACAGGCATGGACACCGGTGGCAGCGCCGTAATGAACCCCATCCCCGAATCGTCTCCGCCGCGCTTCTCAGCCGACGATGACTATTATTCAGGATTAGACGATAGCTCGGATCCGGAGTCCAGAGTCGGGTACATAAAGATCGGTTCTGGATCCAGGACCAAACCCAAATCCGCCGCTTCATCGGAACGCCCACGCTCGCCCTCACCTACTTCCCGCGCCACTGCCGCGGCCCCGAACCCGGCGCCGGCACCAGGCACTGCGGGCTCGCCACCGGAGCTGCCGGCGGCGGGTCGCTGGCTGCTGCAGATTTCAGTGCTGACCCAGCTGACGAATTTGCGATTGGAGCGTTGGTCAGTGGTGCCGCCGCCGGCTCTGGCCCCGCTGACGGGCCTGCGGCGGGTGCAGCTGACGGGCCTGCGGGCGCTGGAGGAGCGGCTGCTGAAGGTGCGTAGGTCGACCGTGGCTTCGTGGTGTGGATGGGGGTGTCGGTCGGTGGGGACGGTGCTATGGAAAAAGGTATCGGAGGCTAGGTGGGCGAGGATTTGAACGCAGGTGGATGGCCCCGCATGAGTGGGCGTATAAGGCGCCTGAGCGGTTGGGCGCCAATGTTATGTCATTATGTATTTTTGTAGTAGAACAAAAAAATGCAAAGTTGTTCTCTGGTCATACGGGTTGCAGGAGCTCACTTTTGTACGTGTCGATGTGCTCTGCTCGTCCTCCGGTGTTGCTTTCCTCTTGCCTCTAAAACCAACGGAGTCCTGCTGCTGCTGCTCCTCCTCCTCCTCCTCCTTGGCCACTTGCTGTTACATCTACTGCCGCAACCTCTTCTGACGTCGCCTGCGTTCACATTCCCGTAGGTGCTTTCCGGGCTGCCCGCCCTCACGTACATGACACTGGAGGGCCGTGCGGCAGCGCACACGGGCAGCAGCGTGTACGGCACCCTGTCGCGCGTGCCGTACATTCCGGACCCATCGGTCCAAGCCCTTGGCGCGCTGACCCAGCTGCGCCTGCTCGTCCTGTCGGGCTTTTCGCTCCTGCAGCCCGAGCAAGCCCTAGTGCAGTCCCAGCAGCAGCCGCAGGCCGCCTTGACACCCCGCCCTGCTACTCGCGGCGTCACTGCCGGACAGGCGACTGCTTCCGCGACCGCCGGGGCCGGCCGTACAGCTCAGGCGATGGATGTGGACACCGGGGCGGCCGCGTCGGGGGCAGCGGCGCCTCACGAGGGTGGCGTACCGACGCCCCAACGGCGGCGGGCCCGTTACACCGCGTACGGCAGCAGTGTCGTGTACGGCAGTGGGGCCGGTGACCGCCGTGGGGAGGCGGAGTTACAGCGCCTGGTATCTTCTCTAGGTCGGCTATCCGCGCTACGTTATCTGAGCTTGTGCGTTGCGGAATGCATCAAGGTGCGGATCAGGCAACAACGTGGTGTCTGCTGGCCTGCTGCCGATTTGTTCCTCACACATCCTCACACACATACATATACACACATATATATAGGGTTTGGCACTACTGATAAGGCGCGACCATTGCCCCCGGGAGATCCCGGGATCGTTACCCATTAGGGTCAGAAGTCCTTCCGATGGTGGAAGGCATTGCGCCCCTAGTTGATGGACGGTGGTGACCTGGGATAAAGTTAACCCGCGAGCCGACCAGGAATGGAGTTGGGCCGCTGTCGACCCGGCAGATTCCGTTGGATGCTGGTGGTGGGTGCGGAACCTGAGCGATCCACTGAGAAGTTGACTAGGGTGACTGGATGAGGGTGCCCCGAAATACCGGGGAAGGCAGGGTTTCGCAGGGTAGCTGCCACGGGCGAAGATACAACCCCCTGTTTCACACATCATATACACACATCTGTTAGGCCTTGTGGGCATTGCGAATCACATGCCTCGGTGCGTTGTTCTTTTCGCATGGTTGCCTTTTTCGCCGCGCGCTGCATGTCATACGAGAGAACACCTTGGGCAGATGGGAGCTGTGGAGGGTTGCCACCCCATACACGCTTCCTTTCCCTCACCTTAAATGGAAAACACGCAACACAAACCATACACTTCCATGTCGATGACGAGTTAGCGGTTTATAAGTTCCCTACCCTTTAACCCTGGTGACCTCTTATTGCGGATTCCTGAAACCTGCTGCTGCTGCTGCTGCCCTCCTCCCGCGTGTGCTGATGCGGCTCTGTGGTGCCGTATTGCCGCCGTGCGTAATCCTTTCCTGTCAGGCGGCGGACGTGACGCGTCTGTGCGGGCTACTTCCGGGTCTGCGGATGCTCAACCTGCCCGGAGACGCCGCCACTCGGCCGTCGTTGCCGTTGCGTTCCGGGGGCCGGGTCTTCATGGCCAGTGTGCAGGAACCGCCCGCTGCTGCTGCTGCTGCTGCTGCTGTTGATGGCGCTGTCGCCGCTGCCGGCGCAGGACCTGCAGCTGGGAGAGTTAGTGGTGAAGGGCTGGGGAGGGGAGGAGGAAGTAGCGGTGATGTCGGCGAGACAGTGTCCAGAGGCCGACCTGGAGGAGGAGGAGGCGGAGGGGCTGCTGGAGCACCCAGCGGCGGCGGCGGCGGCGCAGGAGATGCGTCGACGTCCGGCCGGAATAATGCTGACGGCAGCGGCGGCAGTGGCGGCGCTGGTGAGTCCTTCCCACGGCGTACGTGGACACGGCAGATGCCTCCCTCCCAGGCTGACCAGCGCACGACAAGTACAGAAGTTGAGCGCACGTTTGCAGAGCAGCTTGAGGGACTCACTACGGCAGTGTACGGCGGATTGAGCGAAGGGGAGTTTTGGAGAGCAGTGGAGGGACTGGATACAGAGATCCGGTCGGAGGGTGCGCTGCTGGGTTTGGACAGTACGGCAGGTGGGGGTTGACCTGGCAGGCGGGGTCAGCTATAGCATTACATCAGAGTACGACACAGCTCTTAAAGGGACCGTTTTCGGGCTGAGTGTGGGAATGATAAGAGGGGTTAACGGGGGGAATACACGCCAGCGGGATAGCTGTATCGCTTTGTGGAAAATGGCTGCGGCAGACGTTTTTGCGGTGGTGCAGTCAGTGGACGTGGTTGCCAGGTGGAATGTGCAAGTGCACTCGCATGGCAATGTTTTCAAGGCGACGAGAATATAATGGTGGCGATGTATGTCTCGGTGGTCAGTGTTGTACAGAACGGGACTACCGTTGATGTCAAGACGATGTGTGCATATCAGGAGGTCCAAAGAGAACGCGCAGGTGGGAGAGAGCCCCGGGGAGGCCTCCGTATTATATGATTGCATATCCTCATACCGATGCGATAAGGGGCTCGCTTGCCAGGACGCTTGCGAGGACCCGACGGCTGAAAATATATGATTTTCCATGCTGGAAGTGAAGGAAAAGGAGTACGTAACCCCGTGGAGCGGATGGACGTCGCAGACCGCGAGCACCCCTGACAACGCGGCGAGTGCCATTCCTAGGGTTTGTATAATTATATATATCGCTGTGTTGCCAAGAGCAGCGCCTTGGCGGGTTAGGCAGTGCACTTCAGGCTGGCGGTTATAGGGTTGATGCGTTGCACCTGCAACCAATGTCCAACTGAAACGTTTAGGCAGCATCGCTGTAGTCTGAGGTTAGGAAGGGGTCTTCATTGCACAGGTCCCGCAAGAGTTGGGTGACGGGGTCCCACAGGCCCACTAAACTGCTGATGCGTTGTTATCGTGGTCATTATTGGCCTCATTCGGACTTTGATGAAGGAGGATCGAACTTGATGGCGGCACGGAAATACAGGTGTTGGCGATTGTTGACGGCACCACCTTTCATGCCATTCCTTCTCGAGAATATGGCTGTGTACCCCACCACCAACCAAAGGTCCACGCGCCATATCTTACCCCTATGCACGCAGAACCATGCATAGGCTCACATTGTACACATACACGCATTCTCCGACGTGCAGCCATCCATCATCATATGCGTTCCTTATGAAGTCTGACCCTGCCCCCGCTCCATGCTGGCTATTACAGCTACTACCGCTACTCGCGAGTGTGCTGTAAGCAGAATCAATCTGCAATCCCGGGCTTTGCTCCTATGCCTTATTGGCAGTCAACAGAAACCACCTGCTGTTGCTGCCCCCTATACTTCCTCACCCTCGCGGTCCGCGGTACTCCTGTGAGTGGAAGATGGTGAAGGGTAAAGCGGATCAGTCGAGGCGCGCAATTGATTTCACTGCAGGTAACAGCACGTCCGGACGCGACTATGCAGCGCAACCTCTCTCATTCTCCTCCACTCAGCAGATTCCACCTCCTCCCTCAGCCTTCCCCCTTTCTTCTTATGTTTCTCGTCGCCAACCACAGCGCACACACACACACACACACACGTCGCCGCTCAGATTGACAAAAAACACAATAATACAGACACACCAGGGTTTTCCCCTCCCCCCGAACCCTGCCAAGATTCCCGCCTCCCCGCGGGTCAACTCCCCCACGACCACTGTCGCTGCTGCTTCACTGCCACCGCCACTACTGCCACCGCCACTACTGCCACCGCCACTACTGCCACCGCCACTACTGCCAGCACCACGGCGGCTCCTGACGCTGCTGCTACTGTTCTACTGCGGTCGCGGGTCCCGAACTGAACACCAATATGGAGCGAGAATGGCAGGACCGGTCGCTGTGGAGGACAAGGCCCTTGAGAGGCCAATCCTTCCCTCTCTTACGGAGCCGGGACGACTTCGTTGCATGCGACTTCGGACGTCACCGCGCGGCATGTTGCCTCGATCTAAAGGTAGGAAAAGGAGACGGCGGCGATGGCAACAAAGACAGCGGCATGGAGGAGAGATACATACCATGAGAGGATAACAGGTAGTTCAGGCGGGTAGCAGGAGGGAGGGTCAAGGCGAACCACTGACGATTGAAGCAGATACCACAGGCAGACGGATGCTCCAGGATTAGACAGATACCGCAGAAATACTTGTAAGTTAATGACCAGTAATGACTTGGATAGGGCAGGGTTACAGTTGGGGATCGAAACAAGCCAAGCTTACAGCATAGGTAACAACATCCCTTCCAGTTAAGGCGAAGGCCGCGACCGCCCCCCCCGGGACCCGACGGGGAGATCAGCAACAGGACATCAGGATATCCTCACATCTCGCCATCCTGAACGCCTTCTCAACGGCCCGCTGAACCCTACCCTGAACCTGCACCTTACCCTAACACTGCCCCACGCACCCTTGGAACACCACCCACCACATCACCCCAACCTAGCCAGTCAGCCAGCTACCCCACCCCGCCCCAGCCCCACCTTGCGCACTGCCCGAGTGAAGGGGCTGCTCCCCAGTAGCAACTCAATGACCGTGTCCGCACTCAACACGCAGAACCTCACGCCATGTAGGGCCATCCAGCCGCACCTGTGAGGGTAGGTGTGGTTACGCGTTCGGACGTTGTGTCTAACCTGATGCCGATAAATTGGGTAGCTTTGCTTCAATCAATTTGATTGATTGTCTAAATGAACTGAGCCCCGGGAAGTACGTGTACGTGTACGTGTGTGCACACGTTTATTTGCACGTCTAATTATACGCGTGGGGGTTGGGGGGTCGTGGGGACACAGTGGTCGAGGAAGGCACATGTGAGAACCGTCCCAAGTCACAATACTGTACGTACCTTTCGTCCGACAGACACGACTTCTCGTCCCACTCCCGGCACATCGTACGCATGGCATGGTGCAGCGCCGCCGTCGAGCAATTGCCGTACCCAGCAGCCAACGGCGGCACTCCCTGCCCATCCACCTCACCAGCCGCCTCATGCTCCGTCGCGAGCGTTATGTTGCTCAAATCCGCCACCTTCAATTTGTATGCCGGCATCTTGGCGGACCCGAAATAGCGCTTCAGCAGCGCATACGTGTGTATGGGTTTCAGCCCCGTGGCAGCATGCGAGTACGGCATGCAGCGGTCCTCCGGGATGCTGTCAATGGCCTGAGTGAAGAGGCGGCAGGGGCTGCCGCCGCAGGGCAGGAAGCTGTCAGGCTCCGGCTCACGGCGCCAGCAGGAGGCAGCCGCCGCCGTGTAGAGCATGTCTGCAGGGAAGAAAGGGGCCCCGGACCCCGCAATGGGGTGTGCCAGCGTCGGCGGGGCCGGGGAGGGAGCAACGATACGATGCAAGAGAAACAAACAATCAGCTGCCGACACGTCCAAAGCACCAGCACCAACTGCTGGTGTCCAAAGCGATGAGGTGACTAACTACCTGTTACTTCCTGGAAGCTCATCCCAAATAAATTACCAGGGGGTCCGGAGAGGCGGAGGAGACAAAAACGGAGCGGTGGCGGTGTGATAGTGGTGATGGTGAAGAGGACGGGGGAAGAGAGAGTGAGGGACGCTGACTAAGCTAGCCCACCTAGCTAGTTATCCAGCCGTCCATACCCACCTCTACATGGCGCAATGGCCTGCATCATATCGCCGTTCGGGTCATGAGCCAGGAAGCACGCCGCCGTCACATCGTCCCAGTCGCAATTGGCGTCCAGATGGCAGGTGGGGCGGTCAGAAGCTGAACGGCACATGTGCGCCTCTAGGGCGAAGCGCTTAAGAACCCTGGTGAAATGGAGGACGGCGTGGGAGGGCATGAGTGGGTTGAGCTGTGCGCGCAGTGTGGGCGAAACCGCGCCGGTTACGTCTCCGCGCTGTGGCTAAGGGGCTAGGAAGGGATTAGGTTTGATTTCGTTGTAGGGTCGCAGGTGGTGCTGAGGGTTACACATACTGTCGCAGTACACTTATACTGATGGGGGGCTTACTTTTCGGCGGGCTGCTCGGCGTCCGGGAACCCTGACCCTGTGATTTGGTTTGGGTTGAACAAGCATTGCAAACCGTCGTACACGCAGGCCGAGCTGTCGGGCACCGAGGTGAGCTTCTTGTGGGCATATGCTGTTAAGGCAAAAGTTGATTCTGCCCATCGTGTGAGGACCTGGACAGCACTGTAGAAATGAGCGTGGTCGGCAAACTCCCGAGTTCTGTTGAATGGTCTGTCGTCTAAAGGTAGTGCACGCGCAGGAGGCTTATACAGCGTTCCCAAGATATCGCCTTTCGAAGAGAGCTGGCGATTTCCACCTGCTGTCGCTACCGTTAGCAGCACACATGTCGCAACGAGCGCTAACAGTCTGCCACGAACTCTTTTCCGTAAGTGGTCCATAGTTGTTATGATTAACTAGAAGTATCTTATGTTAGCGTGTCGGAGCATCATGTATGCGCAGCTATGCTTTTCGATCGGAGTTCCAAATGAAGTTTTCGTCGTTATGCTATGCATGAAAAGGCATGAATAGGTAGACAAACATGAACAAAACAAATCCTTTCTGACCTCCATGCTTCAAACAATGCCCGACATACGCGCAATACAAAGCGTGGCCGCTGCCAAATGTAAGGCCCTTGGATAGGAACAAACCCGGCGGACAAACGTGGCAAGGTGGACAAGTTGGAAAAAAGGGACGTAATGGAAAAAAGGGACGTATGTGACGATTGTAGGCGCATGCAAGTAGTTGACAGGTTTGGAATCGGAGGCACCTTCCTCAAACTGCCCCACGGTTCATAATTGTTCCCGAGCCGTAAGGAGAAATCGTAGTTAAGAAGCTGATTGAAAAGAGGCCCAAGCCGACCAAAATTATGAAAGACACCTACCTGAATGCGTGGGCGCAAGTCAAATGCAGCCTGCGTGTGTATCTGGCACATGGTTACAGTGGTGGGTGTCAGCGGCAAGGAAGCGGACGACCTTCTGGGATTACTGGGGGGCCCCGGCTTTGCAGCAGGCCAGCAGCCCCAGGGCGATACGATGTAGTCATGCATGTCTATATCCCCGTCTCAGCGTACACTCCTGTGGCATGTGGCGTGGGGAGGCACGGTAGCACCGCATGGTTGTGCACGTCCCAACCCTGGGGCCCGCACGTCAGGCAGCCAGCAGGTGCGTGTTTGTGGGCTGCAGCTGTTTGAAGTTGGAACAGGGGTGCGGCGACTTGGCAGCGTAATGGCGTGTAGGGTAGACTGCCGTGCGTATCTGGGCATCAGTGAAGTCGTCAGGGCAGTGTGCCACCGAGTGGCACAAGTCCGCAACGCATTTGCACGCATACAGACTGAAAGATGGGTGCATGGGGCAGGAACGGCAGAGCGTCACGCATGACACGCACTGGCGGAAGCGTGGGGAGCGTAACCAAGCAGATGCCGGGTGCAGGGAGATGAAGGTGGCCCAAGCTTGTACACCTACCCTCACGCAAGCAAGGGTGGCTTGCGGGCTTGCGGCAGCACCACCGTCGGCGCCTGCAAGCCTGAAGACGGGCCGAGGCGAGGCCCTGGCGTTGCAATTCAACACCTGAACTTGTACGTTGCCGTTCTTCACCAATATGAACGCCTTTCGCGGCGTCAAGCCCGCTCCTGGAGGGGTCAAAAAGGCCGGCCATGTGAAGCAGAACACTATCATCGCTATGACGGGCCAAGAATACGGCCCCGCAGGACCTGCCGTCACCCGCCCTGGGGCCCCGCAAACTTCGGCTCAGTCCACCTGCTCGCGTTGATGCTTCCACTGCCTCGGCTTTATTTCCTTAACAGCGTGTATTAGCTGCGCCTTCGGGATTACAGTCACTCCGGCCGTATCTTGGGCCGCTCTGGCGCGCGACCGCGTGTACCGAGGCCGCTATGGCTGCCGTGGGATCATCAGGGAGACACACGCAGGAGTTGCCGCACGTCCCTCTAGACGGCAGGGGCAGTCAGGGCGGGCCGGGTCAGGCCAGGAAAGCTTGCTCGCCGTATTGTTACACGAGTATTGTTACGTGTTGTTGGTACACCTCCGTCATGCATACTCATAACGTACAACTAAACATGTACACACCCCACACCACCCCAGGTGTCAGCCACACTCACTCCTCGTCCCCCTCTCTGCGTCTGTGCGCCACAGACACCGTGGCCCGCCTCCTTCCATTCTTGTAGCGTGCTTGTAACTCCATCCCCCTGCTATCATCACCAAACCGCTCTATGCATTATTCTCTCTTACGCGGCATCCCCCTCCGACAGGGGGCTGCAAGCAAGACGCTCAAGCCCGCTACACAGTGCCCGGATCACTCAATCCCACGCTGTACAAACGACCCGGCCCAACATCACAGACACGCGCACAGTCCGCTCGTCCAACCCCGTCCAGAAAGGGATGCATCACTGGCAGAGAGGCGGACACGCGGTGCTTGCCGGTGACGCAGGGAGGCGATTGACCTTGTTGCTATTAGACCGTGCAGCTTGCAGTGGCCTTACCCCCCGCGGCTGGGCCTATTGTCGGGCCGTGGGACAGGTAGCATGACCTGTAGATTTGCACAATGCGCTCGTTGGCGAATTGGGATTTTGCATACTGGCCCTAGAGACGCTGTCCGGGGTTCAGTCCTGTCCTGTGCACTGAGGTCGTTACCAGGCGATGCTCCCCTCCCGCACACCCCTCAAACGCTGTTGTGCTATCACCCAGCTTCACCACCGTGCGCATCAAACCGATCCGCACCGGGGCAATTGCAGCACCACACCAATACACGCTTAACTTGAAACCGAAGCATTGTCACGAACATGTTGCAGCTCCACACTTATAACGCCTTCCGCCATTTGCAGCCTTCTAGAGCTCTGCATTCTTCGCCTTCTTCCTCGCCCGGTACTGCTGCACTCTGATTCGGTTTTTGCATGTCGCGCAGTAGCCGCAGAAGCACTTGGTGCGCGTCTCTCCGCTCTTGGCCTTGGCCGCCTCCGTGTTGGCCGGGTCAAAGAGGCCGACCCTGCAATCGAACGCGGCGGCGCCACCCTTCTCGCCAGTCACATAGTAGGTGTTCAGGCACAACCGGAACACCTCGGGCGCCATGGGCCTGAACACGTCCAGCTTCAGGTACTCCGGCTGACGCACGTTGTGTAACGTACTCACACAGGCTACCAATACCAGCGGCCGGCACCCAGCGCAGCGCCCATGCCACATGTAATGTGCGCGTTCAAAGCCACAGCTTGCGGCCGCCTCCGGCCATGGGCCCCAACCGGGCGCACACCTTCAGCTAGGCGTGCACACCCTTCATGATGTAAAGCTTCACATGTGATGCCGTCTGGCTTGACGGCACCCAGGTGCGGCCGCCTGTCAGCTTGAACTTCGCGTACCTCTCTGCTGGCACTACAAAGTGCAGGCGCGGCACCTCCTCCGCCTTGAGCTTTACCTGGTCTATGGCGCGGCCCAACGTGTCGGTGTCAAGCCTCTTGCTGTTCTGCACTGTCATCTGGAAGAAGTCGCAGGTGCCATTGCCGCGCCGCAGCGCATCCACCGTCGCGAATCTTGCGCTGCTCGGCCGGTAGTAGATTTGCTCCATGGGGCTGCTGGGCACGGCCTGTCCGGACAACACAGCACAGATTTTAGGACTAGCTACGAGTCGGCACGCAGCTGCCCGGCACGAAGCCAGCAGTGCCATCCCCCCATAGCAGTCATTGCGCGGATTGAAGCTCGCCAGCAGGCCCAATGGCAAAGACAATTTACCTCGAAGAACTCCTGCTCCGTGCAGGGGTCGAACTGCAGCTTCTCCTCGACACCTCGTATGAACGTTGACGTCTTGACGTTGTAGCTGATCGGCACAGCCGTGAAGCAGCCGCCCTGCGATGTTCGTGCCGTGCAGTTGTGTACAAACAAATCTTCAGCGAACAGCTGGAGCTTTGCAGATTAACATGTTCAACGGGCCCGCAACCCCTGTCCGCAGTCCACCTACCATGGTGAGCACGGCATGCATGGTCGCCTCATAGAGCATGCCGTACAGCACCCCCGACGTGGAGCTCAGGAGGCTCACCAATGCCTGCGAACAAGCACACCAAAGTAGGCGGGTCAGTCCGCACCGACCGGGTCGCGCACACAATTGTTGCTTTCTTGTTACGCTCTGTAATCCCTTCAGTTTGCATGCTATACTGCATTGGCGTACCTGCAGCTCAGTGTGCACTGCCTTCTTTGCGAACTCTTCAGCGACCCACTTGCTGGCGAACTTGAGGTACTGCATCTCGCACGTTTCCTTGTTGGCAACGATGTGCAGGAGCCTGTGGCTTACCTCCGGCCCCGAGCTGATGGCGCCAATCGAGCTCCGCATCTGTATGTGCAGCCATGCATGCAAGGCAGCAAATGAGACACGCCACAAACATGGATACCGATTCGCCAAGAGCTTTAAATGCCTTCCAGCAGCACATAAGGCAGGGCCCACAACAAGAAAGCCCATGCATGCGCAAAACCAGGGTTGTATGCTTCACGCCACACCTGCGCAGTGTTGCAGCCGTCCACCGCGGCGCGCAGCTCCTCAAGCAGCTTGTGCAGCCCCTTGCCGGGATTGGTCCACGGCAGCCCCAGCGCAAACCTCGCCACACCGCCGTAGTGCTGGTGCAGCGCCGTGGTAAGCGACTCGTCCACGGTGCTGTACATCAGCCTGCGATGTGGGCGAACATGCGCATTGCAAATTTGCAGTTTCTTTAAAGAAACTGCTTGGTGGGTTGCGCGTGCTGTGTGCATGCGTGTGAAGCCATGCCGTATGGGTTTGTGCGTGTTAACATTGCTATGGGCCCCATTGTCGGAGTTTTGCCAGGGCGGCATGGCCTGCCGGACCGGTTAGGAGAGAGTCCATGAACAAACAACAAAACAAGTGGTGCAGTTCCCTCCGACGGGTGAACACCTCAGCGGAGTCCCGCTAGATACACGCCCTGTACTGGACCAATGCTGACTGGCATTGTTGGCAGTCAGCAATGCCGAATGCCAAGATGCACACTGCGCGAATGCTCACTCACACACACACCTCCTGCACGCCTGCAGCTCGTCCAGTTCCCACAGTGGCATGTACAGCAGCGCTGCACCGTGCTTGCGCAACTCCTGCAGGAAACGGTCCACACTGCAGAGTTCAGAGCTAGAGGCAGAGGCTAGATTACACAGAACCCCAGCAAGCACCTCAACGCTGCCGTGGTGCATACACGGCCCGCTGTTACTTGAGTGTTGCAGGCAGGTGCAAGCAGAAATTTACGTTAGGGGCGTGCAGTGACCAGCGAATGGGACAGTCGTGTCGAAGCACATACCAGCAGCGCCCATGCAACGTGTCCCCCTTGCGGCAACTGGGTGCTGCTCAGGAGTGCCCAAAACCTGTTATTTACTTTTGCAGTTCGCACAACGATGAAGCCTCTTGCAACACCTGTGCTGCCATCTCACAGGCCTAGGTGCCATTCCAGCAGCACGTGCACCCGCTACCTCGCTATCAGCTCGAACGTCACTCAGTAAAACTCGATACAGTGCGAATGCTCGATTGGCTCACCACTTCAAGTGTCCATCCGCATCGGCCTGCACTGCACCTTCCCCGTCCCAACGACGCACACCCCCCGCCCACCTTGTATGTCTCACGCTTGGGCGATGTCAGCAGCACGGTACGCGCCAGGATGTCGAATAGCGGCGGTGCACCATCGACGATGTACCAGGTCGCGGGGTTGTAGAGCAGCTGTCTGAAGCTCGAACGCTGCCCAACCACCACTTGTCCCGTCTCGTGCACGTAGCACCACTGCCAAAAAGAATTGAGAGGAGGAACGGCAACACGAACTCTTAGAGCACGGGACAAGTACTGCTGGTTGAGCTGTGAGCTTCTGACTAGAGCCCATAATTACAGCAGATATGATCTATCTTACCGCTTCGCCAGGATACATGAAATGCTCCCACACGATGAAGGGTGGCGGCGACCTGCGCTTCAGGAGCCGCAGGATGAGGTATGTCGCGAACCAGGATTTCCCGATGCCAGGCGTGCCCGTGACTGCGAGAAGTGTAGGCATGTGGCCACAGGATCATAAGCCGAGGAGGAAGGTGGACATCGTATCTGTGGTTGTACCGTCTGCATCGTGTCAGGAGTGCCACCTGTTTCCCTGTGTACCACTCCTGGTTGTCCTCTCCATCTATCCAATCACTTTGACCACATATTTGTGTGCGCAAAAGGCCACGTCTCCTAGGCTCCTACCGATGTACTTCGTCGGCTTCTCATCGCACACCAGGGCGTCGAATAGCCGCGGGTAGCATTCTCGCACATACAGGGCGCTGAAGTCCGGTTGGAACTGGAAGACGACGTTGGGCCCCAGGCTCAGCAGCTCGCCGGGACCCGGCAGCGCCGGCATGCGCAGCAGAGCCACAACCATACTTGAGGCGATCGGGTGAACTGTAGAAGACAGACATGAAGGAAATAAATAGTCCCAGAGTACCAAGACAGAGTGCTATTCAGCAGTACTCAGCCGGGGCCCAGGCCTGCACCGCAGCCCATAAACCCACCGTGCCATGCCCGAGCGAGCGCCCCGCCCACCCACCCCAACCTGCCTACAGCTGGCGCGCTCTATACGAGCTCCCCTGGGCCGGGTGTTGGGCGGGTGCTAGCCCCAGCTCCCAGCACGCACCCAACACGAGTGGGCGCAACCAGCTCACCCCGCAGCCCCAAGCAACGACCCACCCGCCCCACCACGCGACAGCCTCGCTGCTGCCCCTCCGATATAGAGGCCAGCACCCCCGGCAACGGCCTCCGCTCCCCCAACAAGGCCCGCTTCTTTTCTTGCTTCCGTAGCGGGGGGCAGACGAGCCTCGAATTGGCCTCACCCGTCTTAATGCCATAAGCGTTCAGCCAAACCCCAATCGTTCCCCCTGAGGATCGGTTCCCTTCCCACGAGCGCCAGGCCTAGAGGCCCTGCAATGCAGATGGGGTCTCACCGGCAGCTGCCGTGCTCCCGGGGCCCGGCTCTGCTGCCGCACCTGCATGACGAGAACGTCACATGTATGCAGGTCAGGATTATTGCACATCAAGCTGTATCCTGAAGAGACAGAGGCGGTGGTTGCGCAATCGGGGATTCAATCGCAACATGCCGGAATGCTTCACATGGGGCTGGTGCACTCCGAACTCAGAACTACAAATGTGCCGTTGCTCACCCTACAGCCTCTCGAAATGATCACCAGCAGCAGCGCTGTTCACGATAGCTCAAACACTTCCGTACTACACCGCCGTGGGACACTAGAGCCGGAGTCTTAGGTCAGGTCAAGCCTGGGCTTGCACAACCGGCTCCAGCCGTGCTCCCCCACACCGAGGCCATGATGGCTTGGAACAGCTTTTTGGAACAGCCGATACCGACACCAGCGTTTTGGGTGATATGCTGCTCCTTACAAGGACTGCTCGTAGCATGCTCGGTTGAATGCTCGGTAGCGTGCGAGTTTACCTATCATGATGTTTGTTTGCATATCCCTCCAAGTGAGAGGGCTTGGACCTATGCTGATGTTCGTTACAAGAAGTGAACTGAGGACTGACGCTACACGTCATGTATACGCGTTGCTTAGCTTGCAACTGGACGCGCCCACGATGAAAGGTATGCACGTAAATTCGCCCGTGCGCTGAACGCCTTGTAACCCTTCAACTACACTCACAATATACCGCTGCACTATTCTCTCCACTCCTGCCACATCATATTTCACCGACATACGTTCTCAAGCAGGTTGTGAGGTTTTGGAACCATGTCCGTTTACAGCATGGGTCTGTGGCATACCAAGTTTTGCGACAGGAGGTCGCAGAATCCCTCTCCAACCCCGAAGGTGCCGGATGGGGGACACTACTCCTCCGTTTTCTATGTTTTTTGGGGCACGACGTATGGAAAGAGGCCCCGCAAGGGCTACACGAGGTAGACGAACGAGTGGAGTGGTTGATGAACAAGCCAATGCCAGAAGGGGTGATTTTGGAGTTCAAGGACCGATTAATGAGTGGTTGGAAGCATACGCGTTTAGATGTCCAGCCTGACGTGTATCCGTCAGACGGCAAGCAACCAGGAATCCACATGGCGAAGTATAAGCATTGGATGGGGCTGGCGGCCGAGCAAGCGGGCAGGAAGGAGGTGCTCCCGCACATCACAATGTTTATCCCACGTTCGGCGAATTGCAAGCTTATGCAGTTTAGGCTTTGCTGTTGGGCACTGGCGGCTAACAGAGCGTGTAAGGGACGGCGTTATATACCTAGGGAGGAGCGAGTATGCCCTTGCTGCGGCACTGATAGCCACATCGAGGATGAGAAACACATTTTGCTGGACTGTCCGGTTTACGACGAAATCAGATCTGATATGGGCTTTCCACGCTTCGAACATATGAAGGACGCTATGAAGTGGGTTCCTGAACGCCTGGCAAGGATGCTGGAACGTATATGGTCTCACCGCAACTCTATCGTTCCCTTTGGTCGTTAGTATACTTCATCACTTGTCTCGTTGGAAGTGCGAGGTAGGATGGTGCTTATAGGCGATTTGGCAGCCCTTGAGCCCTCGGCTCGTACTAGGGTGGTTTGCAGGTACGGGGAACGCACCCACGACCATGTAACAACAACAACAACACTCACAATATACCGCTGCACTATTCTCTCCACTCCTGCCACATCACGTTTCACCGACATACTTCGGCATCTTCCGCATCTATATACTTTAGTACGCGGTCAGCTGCTTCACCAGGACCCCGGTGTTTTCTGACGTTAGCAAAATTAATTTGAATCCATACGGAGAGGATGATAATGAGGAGGTTGCGACTGACCCAGAGATTGAAGTACTGGTACAAGCAACATACCCCGCTAGTGACGATGAGGCTTTTAGTGACAGTGACTACGAGACCGACATAGAACGAGATACCGATGAGTCGTGCATGGATGAGGATTTTGATGAGGATGAGGAGGACGAGAAAGAGGAGCAGAAGGGATGGGCGGCCGCGGCGGCCAAGGCGCTTGGCTTTCGCTGAGTGTGCCGTGTCCCGGAGTGTAATGGTTCACGAGGAAATAACGAAAATAACGATTTACAGGGCAAAAACATGCAAAGTGTCACTTCCCACAGCGTTTCAGCCAAGGAAAGGTTTTGCGGGGCTTACGGGGCCCCCGTAAGGTTTTCGGCCAGTACAGGAGCCTG